AGGTTGTATTCTATCTTTGCTAGGGCCTCGCACGGGCTGCTTTGGTTGGTATGGGGGAGAATTGATAGTGGTTATAGAGGCTTTGGCTGTTCATCTTCTAACTGCATCTTATGGTCCCTCCGTGGGGGCTTCCAGAGCCTTCACCTGTATGGTCTTCTTTTTAGGACATTCTCTGCTCCTATGGCCGGGCTCTTTATAGTAGAAATACTTCCTATCTTTTATTAATGTCTTTCTAGTTTCTAGTTCCATACTAAAAGCTCAGATTGGAGATTTGGAAGAAATATTTATAATATTTAAAATAGTAGCAGGAGAATAAAATACACAAGATTCTATATAATCTTTAACTACTATAAAATTATTTTTAATATGTTTTTTAATTTATTCTTTAATTATATTTGTAGAGTTAGCGTATTACTTTATAAATTTTTTAAAGTCTTTATTATTGTAACTATACGCGGTAAGATCTTAAAATTTAATAAAGAATTTATTATAGAGATTATCCTTCTAGATATTTTTATTAATTCTGGCTTTAATAGCAAGATAATAAAAAATTAAGATAAAGATATAAAACTTGTTTCTAGTCTTTATCTATAAGCTCTAGTACTAGTAACGGGCGTTATAAATTTTATTAAAATCAGTAAAGATAGTTTTTAGATATTTAAATATATTATTTAAATTAAAAAAGAGGTCAGTAGCGTCAGGATGAAAATATAAAATAAAATATTTTTTAATAATATTTTAATATCGGCTAATAACGTATGCCTTGCATATAGTAAGAATACTATATTAGTTAGTATTAGTTTTTAATTTTTACTATATAATAAGAGTTTAGTTTTTATAAGTCAGATCCACGCTATTACTGAATAAAAAAGAATCTAGAATCTTTATAGGTTTCTTCACTTTTATAGAAATATTCTAATCTAGATATATTTACTGTTGTAGAGCTTATATAATAAAGTAGTCCTATTCTTTAGTAAGATATTTAATCTTTTGGGCCTGCTAATTCTGCTAATCTAGAAAATTATCTTTTTTAATTTTTAAAATATTAAAAATCTTTAGAAGGATTTTAAAAGTCTATTTTAAGTCTTTTTTATATTAATTATTAAATTCAGTCTAATTAAATCTATCTTCCCAGTTTAGTTCATTAAGTAGTATCGTAGAAAGTCATTAGTTATTCTTAAGACTAAGAGTCTGGGTACTTTCTCTGGTTATTTTATTTATTTGTTTGGTTAGTTAGTTAGATAGGTCTTTTGGCTATTAAATATTATTAAGAATATGGGATAGAGACTACTAACAGCTTAGCAGGAGCTGGCCGTGTATAGTAATAGGAAAAGAAATAAAGAATAATATTTAAAGTTATAAAACAACCGTTCAATGTAATAAAATGAGGTTGTATTAGTATTAACTATTTTAGAACTTTAAATATAAAGAGAAAAAAAGAAAAATAAGAAGTGTTATGGGCGCTTACTTGAAGAAAACAACAATAAAGTAAATAAAATAAATATGGTTATATGATCCTGAACAAGGCCCTGAACGAGGCTGCCGTCATAAACTAGTATTCGGACCTTTTAATAAAATTATATTTAATTAAGATTTAATATTTACCAGTAAATTTTAGTTAGACTTAAACTATAATAGTTATATAATCTTAAGGCTTTCTACTGTATTTCATCTATAAACTAATAATTAAACAGAAAAAATAAATTAAATCTTAGAATATTATTTAAAGTATTATTTTACTTAATTTTTTATAAATTAGGCTGTAATATTACCAACCATCTAATTTACTTATAATAATATAGATAATAAAACTATTAGATAATTATTTAATAAAATTCTTTATAGTTATTTACTAGACTTCTATATTAGAATCAAGAATAATTCTCAACAGTGAGAGATTCTAGCTATATAGAATAGAATTAAAAAGCTTAAATAAGTAAGAGAATAATTCTAAAAAATATAGTAAACAGCTATAGAAAAGTAAAAGAAATACTATAATAAGTATAGAAAATTATTTTACTTTAAAAAAAAAGATTTAGTTAAATTATTAATCCAGAACTTATAGTTCAAGAGATTAAAAAAATTAGTTTTAAAGTTTATAAGATTTTTTCAGATTCTAAAATAGATTAGATTATAAATATATTATCTATGTTTACCTGATAAATATAAATAAATCTATAATATATTTTATATTTTATTATTAGAGCCGTAGAATGTTGGTACAGATTATAAAAAGATACTATTAATATTAGAGCTAGATAATAAGGAAGAATAGAAAATTAAAAAAATTAAAGATTACTAATAATATAATGGCTAAGACTACTATTTAATTAAATAGAAAGAATAGTTTAATAAATATAATTAATAAATCTCTAGTAAAAATATAACTAATATATAAGGATATATTAGGAATTACTAAAAAAATATTAAAGATTATTAAAGTTAATAAAACTACGGAAGACTACTACTGAATAATCTTTATATTAGATATATACATTACGGATATATTAAGTTATATAATTTTTTTTTAATTTTCCTAACTATGGGCTAAATACACTAAGAAATATATTATATTATCTTATATAAAGTAATAGGAAATATTTATATATATTTAACCAGTAATATTTTTGAATTAATATTAAAATATTAATAAATACTAAGTATTAATAAACTTATTAAATAGCAAGAATATGCACAGGAAAATTATTATAAATAATCTAAGCTTTTTAAATTATTATTATTTTTTTTTATTCTTTTCATTCTTTAAATCATTGTTAGAGAATACTAAAATATTAGAGAAGTATTCATGAATTATATCTATAATTTTTTAAAATAAGATAGTTATTACTGTAATCTATATAATGAAGTCTATATCTTCTAATAATAAATATAAAAAAATTTATTTATTATACTGGCAGAACTTTGCATGTGTTATATTAATACTAGAGTAGAAAAATTAGCGAGCTATAATATTATATTAAATAGCTAAATACTACTAGTATCCGTAAATATTTATTTAGTATTTAATTAATGAATTATTCTAGAAAATAATTACTTATTAATTTATGTTCTTCTTTAAGTCTTTAAAATAAAAATTTATAATATAGATAATTTTTATATTTTTAAAAGCCTTTACAAGGTCGAAACCACTGGTGTATAAGTATATATATAATTTATTATTTTAATTTTCAATTTTTAGTAATTTATTAAGTTACTAGAGAATATCTACTAGATTGTAAATGTTATTTAATATTTCTATTAATATTTAATTATATTATTAAATAAATAATATATTAATATATAAAATACTTACAGAATTACATTTCTTATTTTCCTTATAATAGCGTTAGTAAAGAATCAAGATTTTACTATTAAAAATATAATAAATAGTAAACAGAATACCAGTAGTAGCTTTATATTTTTTTAAATTAGATTAAAAATAATACATATAGAATAGATACTTAAGTTTAATTATTAAATTATAAGTAGTATACCGCTTCATAGTTCTACAGATATAAGATATTATAATAAGATTTTTAGATAAATAGTAATAAAAAAATATAAAAATGTAATATAAATACCAATTACTAAAAAAATTATAATAATAAATAAATAAAACTATCACGAAGGATAAGAGCAGCGTAAAAAAAAAAAGAAAAATAATAATATTAATATTAGTATTATAGTGGGTTACTACTGTATTAAAATAAAATTATTTATTAATTTTAATTATAATAACTATAATAATAAACATGAATATATTATAGTATTTTATATTCCTTTTATTTTATGAGAACACGTTGATAGCTATCCTAAAATATATTTCTTATTTTATATTATATTTCTATTTTAAAGTTATTTATATATGGCTTTCCAAGCTAAAAGACTCGACTCAGCAAGAGAGAAGATAATTATAATAGAATAGTTTAGATAGAGATTTTATTTTATTAGTACTAGTCTAACTAATGTTCTAGTCCTATAGTAGCTTAGTTAGTGTGATCTGGGGCTTTCAGGTAACGTACTAGGATAGCTATAGTAGTTATAAGATTATTAGTAGTAGTTCAGGATTTCTTTACTTACTATGAGATAATATTTATCAGTGTTAGACTATTAATCTTCTAAGGATTAGTCTCTCTATGTGAATATAGGCTATATTATTGTTACTAGTGGAATTCTACACATTTGGTGGCCAGTTCCTTACCTAGTTGACAGGCCTTCTACCCTGACAAGTAGATCCTATCACAAGAACTAACAGATAGAACTATAAGTAATCCTATCCTCCTAGATAAGGAAGAAAAATATAATTAACCAATCCTTATAGAGAAGGCTGGAGATGAGGATAATCCTATTATCCCATAAATATATACAATTTTAATATAATTTATTAATACTAGCACCAGCACTAGTACCAGCACTAGTACTAGTACTCCCAATTATACGGGCCCTGTGTACAATACCTGAGCAAGACTTATACCTTTACATAGTATTCAAGACTAGTAGCTATTTAGATAATGAAGCTAAGTAAGTTATAACTATGTATAGCTTCATTAGGTAAGATTAACTAATCCAATAGACTTTATATAGATTCTGCTGGCAGTAAACACCAAGAAATTGCATTTGCAGGATGGCCGCTATTACCCGCCGTAGATATCATGGCCCTTAATCGACTAGCGCGGGGCCCCGGAGAGTAGGCATGTGACCGCCGACATACCAATAGTAGCTCCCCTCGATGATAGAGAACTCATCTGCAATACCTGTGAGGATTACAGTGATACAGTGGCAGGACGGTTATCTGTATTGTTCAGGTAGCCATTATTGATATTAGCCACAAAGTGGTAAGGATTATAGGACCGTCGCTAGATCAAGCATTAAGCATGCCGATTGTCATAACTCCAATATGGGCTGTCACATAACCCAGACGCCCCAAAGAAAACCAGAAAAGCATCGTGAAGGTATCATGACTCATTCTTGGACCTCTACACATTTATACAAGCACCAGTTCATCGTTCGCGAGATAAATCGATCCCGAGGTTCTCAAGTCTCTCGCAATCCCCCCTTTTCATGGTCACGCCACCAAAATTCCTGGGGATTGGTAGTCCCTCCCTACTTCTGTTAGTTGGATCTTCTTCATGTCCAGTCAAGTGAACGCTTACCGATAAAACTTAATCTTCAGGTTCCGTGCACGGTCTTTCAACTGCACCTGGTTCCGATCTCTAATCCGGGTTTCGCCGTCCTTCTCGGGCTGGACAAGGTTCTCGTTCTCGATTCTTGCCCATGAAATGCCGTGTTCTTCGATGAGGCGCACCAGTCGGGCATCCTCGGCCTCTGACCAGCCCCTCGATTGTCGGCCACGGCCAGAAACGGTTTTACGCTTGGGTGCCGGTGATGCGGTCTCTCGGTTGTCTGTTTGAGGAGACTCAGCCTGCGTGCGGGCTGGAGATCGAGCACCTTGCGAGCCCTGCCGACGCTGATCTTCGGCACCTTCCGGGGTGTCTTCGCGACCATTGTCTACCCTCGCACGCTTACTTCGCCGCGTCTGCACGGGCTTGTCGGCACGCCGGCGCTCGGTGTCTACTTCGCGATCGTGGGTTTCAAACTCCTCGTCGCTTTCCGAAGAGCTACTAGCCTCACGTCTGCGTTTTGGAGGTCGCCCACGAGGCCTCCGTTCAACACTTCTGGCGTCCGACGCCTGGCTGACAGGGGATACTCGCACCGCATTCTCTTGTCGGTCGATGAATGCAGGGCGTGTAGTACCCGGACGAGGCCGCATTTGAGTCTTTGCCATGTTCCACACATCCCTGCTTGAGGGAAGCGAGAGGTTATTCGCCGAAGGCGGGGCCAGCATAGAAGTAGGTGCATGGCGGGGTCTCGAAGCAGACCTATTCATTGGAGGACTGTGAGACCTCTCGGGGTGACTCTCGGTATGCTGACTGATATCAAGGGGTTCATCGTTCACGGTAATCTCCGTCTCATCGATTGCCGTGGAGTTGTCGTTCAACCGGTTCTCCTCGTAGACCTCGGTGTCATCCACCTGAGTCTCGTCGTGTAACTCAGTCTCCTCATACACCTCGGTGTCATCGTTCACGTGGGTGTCGTCATTCACAAGCGTACGAGAGGCGTCGAAAGACTCGTGGGGCTGCGCAGATCCCGAGCTCTGCCGTGGTGGGATTGCAGATACGGTTTGTCGCCTGTCAGTGGCAGACTGCTGTGCCACAGACAGGTTTGGTCTGATGAAGTCCGATTGCCGATGAGCACGGGTCGTTTCAGTCGAGCCCCGGAGTTGCTGCTGCCGTTGCATGACTCGGTTGATTGCTGCTTTATTCAGAAAGGAGCTTCTCTGGTTAGCATACAGACAGAGTGCCATGGTCGGAATCCTCACGGTCTAGACTTCCTTCGATCTCTGACTTGCTCCCTATTCTCAGAAGACGCCACCCTTGTATCAGTAGTGGGCAAATCATTGTGGGTCACAGAAGCGGCCCTTGGCATGGCGGTTTCTTGTTCGACGGTGTCTGGAATAGCATCAGTGTTGGGGGCAGGCGCAGGAGTTGCGGCCCTTTGAGAGCTCACGGAGGTTGCTCGGACTAAAGGTTGTAACGCGCCTTGACCATCCGATAGAGCAGTCCTCCGCGTAGGCTTCTCAACGGTAGACAAACGATTATCACTCCGCTGGCTGCTAGGCGTAGAAAAGGCAATGGTGTTGCCCAGGCTGAGGCGAGGCTTTGACCTGGAGTAAATGTCATGGGTGTCTTTCAGGTCATTGTTGATCTCATCCGTCCTCTTGCGAATCCATCGGGCAGCCTGCATAACAAATTTCTGCCAGCGGTAGTCACCCTTGAGGGCCTCCAGGGTACCGTCTACTTCTAGAACCACACGCATATCGTGGTATCGATCCTCCACATCACTTCGATATCTAGAGGGAAGCTCCTGCCTGAGGCCAGTGAACCTCTCCAGATTAAAGCCGCGGAGTCGACGTTCAGCATCCTCGGGCGCACCCTTGGGCAGATCCAAGAAGAAGCCACTTGTCAGTATCTCAACTGGGTCAAAGTCCTCGTCATTTTGGTGTGCTTCGATCTGCATTATGACATACTGGGTACGGATTTCCAGACCCAGCTCGAAAGTATCTTTGTCGAGGTAGCTTTCGTCGACAGATTTCTGTACATCCTTTTCGACCAGGTTTGTCATGAAAGGCAGAGGAAATTTTCCTTGGATTCCCGAGATTGCCTGCTCTGGGGATATGTTGGTACCAGGTCTAGCCAGGAGTACTCGCAACGCAAAGCGAGCACAATTGGCTTTGTGTAGAATAAGCTTCCCGCTGTCTTCAAGCCCACTGACCTTCGCAATCCGCTCCACATCGAGGTAGTTCGAAGGGGAGGTTTGACCAAAGTACTTTGCCTCATGGTTCAGGTTGGTCACGGACCGCTGCAGGCGTCTGCTTTGCGTGCTGGCAGGGTCTCCCAACTTCTTCGCGGTACTGATTACGCTCACAGGGTCGGCGGACCCGGGGACGAGAAAGTCCAGGACATTGGCAGCCGCACGCTCCAAGTCTGGGAGAGCCTCCACCATGATATCAGGATCTAGATCATTGTCTGGTTCCGAGGGAAGGATGGTGGTGCCCGAGATATTGACCTCCTCTTCTGGAGTCTCTGGAATGACCTGGTTTGCATACTGGCCAGGTCTCGCCGATCGAAGGGGAGATTCCTCGACGACGACATCCAAACCTGTTTGATAGATCAGGAGAGACGCCCAAACAAGCGGTAGAGAAGTCGAGACTCAGACTCACCCTCTCCGCCCACACGACCCTTACCTAGGCCTCCCCACCTTCTCCGACCGGCATCCACCGACGCCTCACCATCATCGTGTTGAGGTCTGAACCCCTCCCACTCACGACTCTGACTTCTCGTCACGCGTCTCCGGATCGGACTCCCGGTCCACGTCTTACCCTTAGACCTATTCCAAGGCTCCGTTGACGACTGAGCAGCCTCTCGCGACTGGGCCAACCGCGCCATTCTACCACAACAAACTTCCCCGAGAGGAAGGAAGGCGGTCAGCCACCGGACCACGTGAAACTGACGAGTGATACACTCCAAGGACCCAGAACTGATGCCAGAAGTCTCCCCTAGATGGGAAATGATGAAATTTTGCTGTCGTAGTTGACTGGGGATGGTTGGCGGAAGGCGTAGGTGAGGTTAAAGGGAGACAAGTTCACCCAGGGGAGTCTCAGCGGTCAGACCCTAAGAATTTTGCCAGATTTGGGGTAAACAAGTTATGTAAGCGGCGAAATCAGGCGGTGGGCTATAAACCCTAAACCCTAAGACCCTAAAGGTGTTTTGGTTGATTTACGCATGATTGGGAGGTTTATGCGAGTGCTGATATATGGAATAGAGAGGCAGTAATGGGAACTACTTGGCTAGGGTGTAAGTGAGCCGGAATATGGCGTTGTGTGGAAGTTATGGCCGATATCAACCTGCCGCGACGGCGAGGACGACGGGGATACGATGATAGAGATTTTCCCCAGAGTAGCCGAATGCATCAGGTGACTTGTCTCAACTGGCTTGCGTGGTCTACGGGAAGTTGGACAAATCGTTCGAGTGGTTCTCGAGATATAGTCTGAAAGATCCGGTGGCTGAAGCCGGAGCGGTCTGATAGAAGGGGAGATGCAGACAATTAAGATCTTCAATTATGACTTTCATGGAAGGTCCTGACGGGAACCTAGTGCAGAATGTAGATTGTGTAGTAATAAGTTAAAGTGTGTTGTAGGTGATGAACAGTCGAGTCTTATATGAATCTGATATGGGTGTCTAGAGTATTTTGTACTTCTTTTGCGCAGGAATAGGTATGCATAGTTCTAATGCTCCCTATTACTCTTCCAGATAATGCAGAGCTGTCCATACCAACTTAGGATTAAAAATTTAGGCATCCGTTCTACAAGAAGGTAGCATCCATCGAGACAACATGGACAGAACTTCCACACCATCTGTTTTGTAAGCACATACGCAAGACTACCCAGCCCCTTCATCGATTACAGACCCTTCCAGAGTAAATCTGACCGGTCATACTATGTTTATTTACGTACGTAGTGAGCCATATGATCTTCAATTACTCTCATGTTACCCATTAACCAAATAGTGTCTGTCGGCTAGAAGCTAACCCAGCAACTATTTTTCAGCAATAGTTATAGTTGGATCTTCATTGTCGACTACGTGCTACTGTTTTCATGGGACGGTGTTTGGGCTTCGCTCTGCTTTTGATGGCTGCGGTGGAGTGGGGAGAGATTTGGCATCCCCTCCTTTCCCTCTGTTGTACTCGTACGGATACCTTTGGACTCTTTGATTTGGTCATGGTGTGGCTTCTGGGGTATACGGTAGATGGTTGTTGGGTCGAGTTGGAGTGGGTGTGTCGTGTTTTTGGTTCTCAGAGTCACGGTGTATCAGCGCCGTACTACGGTATTGCCGCGTTAGATTGTTTTCATAGGAGCAACTGTCAGAATCAAACTCCGTAGTCGTTGCCTAACGCCAGGCACGGATGAAAGTACATGCACCATTATCGCATAATCTATACTAAGAAACCGCCAACATAGCAAGAACAGGTCTAGTAGATGGCCTCGAACATGTAGATGACACCAAAGACCAAGAATGCCGTGGCACCGCCCAGCGTGACTGCATCCGTTAGCTATGTTCAGAAACCGAGGGTGGGGATACATACCAACGCGCATGCTGACCTTGCCAGCAATAGCACTGCCACCAATGACGGCTGCAGCAGTGCAGAGTCCGTGTCCGGAGATGGCTCCGATCGTCACCCACCAGTAATCCTGACCGGCGGCCATCGCAATGGTGGCAATTTGACTACGGTCACCCCACTCGCCCAGGAAGGTCATGACAAAGGTCTGGACCCAGGCGGGGCTGAGAAGAAGCGAGAAGAGGTTGTTCATGCCAACGAGAACGTCGTTCAAGCGGTTACGGGATGGAGATGAGCCGCGCGAGGACGAGGACGAGACGCTCTCCGGAGGCGACGGGAGACGGTTGCCAGACGAACGCGACTTGCGTCGTCCAACGCGGCCAGCCTCCAGGGAATGGGGCGTCACCGAAGAGCGACGACGGCTCATACGGCGCTGCTCTTGTTCCTTCTCCTCCAGTTCCATCTCGACCTCCTTCATTTCCTCGCCGACACCCTCGTCGGGCGACATCTCGCGACCTTCCTTGAGCATCTTCAGACCGAACACGAGGAACAAAACGGCGGCCAACAGCTTGGTCACCGACTTGGGGATCAGGGTAGGCACCGCGTGCCCCAGAACCGCCGAAAGAACCGTCATGAAGATCAGGGCGCTGAACGCGGCCGAGAAGACGAGCAGACGGGGGTGACGCATGGCCATGAGTGCGGCCACCAGGAAGGTCTTGTCGCCAATCTCCGAGACGATGATCATGGTGAAGGAAAACAACAACGAATGGAACGCCGTTCCTTCTGCGAGCGGCTCACCCGGCTGGGTCGAGCCATGCTTGTCGAGACCGAGGGGGCTGTCTTTGACCGTGGCGGGCGACTTGGGAGGGGGAATGTCGTGCGGCTTATCGGGCAAGTCGGCGGGTTTCTAACTGCATCAGCAAGTGTTTTCCACCGTTGTAGTGTAGCTCTACCTCCAGCTTGCCCAAGTTCGAGTCGGCGCCCGAGCTCTTGGTGTCCTTCACCTCATCCTCATCCGACACCGGGAGCTTCTGCGACTCGCTGTGCGGCAACGGCGGAGCCTCCTTCGGACTGCCTGGAGTCTTCTCGCTCGAGTATGGCTCCCTCAACTTCTCCGACACGCCGCCCTCGGTTCCACGAGTTCCCTCCTTGGGACCGGTCCGATGGGGGTCATCCATCACACCGTCGTTGGAATACGGAATGGGGTTTCCATCGGGGCCCAGTTGTTCAGCAGCGGTGGGATCGGTCTTGGTCTTTTCCTCCAACGAAGTGGTGGAGCCGGTTTTCTTGCGATCCCGCTCGGCACTGGTTTCCACCCAGGGACCAGCGTGTGGCCGACCATCCTTGCCGTCGATCGGGGCGTCCAGCGTCCCTTTGGCGGCCTTGGGGGCCGTGACGGCATCTAATTCGACGGCATTCGGGGTCAAGGCTTCGCGCTCGGCGAGAACAGCATCCTTCAGGCTGCTGTTGGCGGAACTTGAATCCGTGAGCGCGGTCGAAAGTGCAGGCAGGAGGAGCAGGAGGAGCGGCGAGTGGATCTTCATGGTGTGGCCCGGCAGGTCAATTGAAGATATTAAAACAGGTTATATGATATAAGCAATGGTAGACAAGAACAGACGGGTAGGCCGTAAACGAAGGATGATCGAAGTTTGGATCCAGGTAGATACGTCGATCGGAAATCAAGCCACGACAGCGATCCGGGCGGACTCAGGCACGCGATCGGGGCAGAGATGAAGGGAGCGCGACGGGCAATGCAGGCAGTCTGATCATACAGAGCCAGAGTTAAAATACATGCAAGAAGAAAGGAATGAAGCCGAACAGCGGTCGTTGCGAGGATGGGAGAAGAACAATGGGAGACTTTCGGCGCCGCAAAGGGGCAACGCCGCTCCACATCACGTGCGCACCGGTTGCGGTGTTCCTTACAGGTTACGGCCACATTGTCCGGCCACCATCTGCTGGACAGGTTGCAATGACCGGGATGGTGGTCAAGATGCATTGGTCGGGTGTATTGCTCTGTCTTTGCTTGGTGGTCTGGGAGGCTGGTCTCACTGTATGTTGTGGCAACCCAATGAAACCGCGTCGAATTTAGATTACTGGGCCAGGCTATTTATATCCTCCATCGATACCTGTCATCTACATCTCCCGGCCTGGGATCGCTGCAGAAATCGGTTTAACTTTCATGCAGCAGCGTGCCAAACAGGAGAAAAGAATGCGTTTCTGACTTAGTAGTTGCATGTCTTGCATGTCTTGCATGTCTAACCCCGGCCAGATGTGAGGAGCAAACGATCCCAACGCTGGGTTGAGCCAGCGGGCATTCACTGTGGCTTCACAACCACCGTCAGCCTTGCTCACAACACATTCATTTCTCATCATGAATCTCTACGTCACTCCACGTGACGTCACTCTGTTCTTTGTTGAAATCCCTCTGGATCAACGGTGAAGATGTCCGACTCAACTGTCCCCGACGAGGCCTCCAGCCCTGGGGGAACCCTTGCCTCCTCCAACCCCGGCGGCTCCCTTGCTTCCCAAACCGCGACTGCTCGAGTGCGGCTGAGCGCCAGCAGTGGCTTGAGCCACGCCTCCGCCCACTCGATCTATTGTGATGCCTCTGATACAGCTCCGGATCATCACGAAATCGATCCCCCCGGTGAGGAACGCAGCCACTTCAGCGACGACAGTAGCGACGACATGATGGAGGACTATGATGTGGTCAGCGGCGCCAGCTCTCCCAGCTCCGTTTCCTTTCAACTCGTCGAGCCCGAAAGGGAGAAGCTCTATCATCCGATTGCCGTCACCATGTTCGTGGGGAACCCGCGCCCTCAGGCGGACCGACCTATTCACCTCAGCTGCATCGTCCTCTCGTCGCAGTGGCGCCAGGACTTCTTTCCCGGTTCCTGCCGCAACAAAGCCGACAAAGCAGCCAAATGCAAGGACATTGTCCGGTACAACGAGCAGTACCTCTCTCAGATCGCCAAATATGCTTGTGCCGTGTGTCCGAAGCCGACCCCCGCGCGCCAGTTCGTGCACCAGCCGATCATGTTTACGCGGACCAGCAAATCCGGCCTGGAGGACGGACCCCGCCGACGTCTGATCATGCGACTGGGGCAGCTGGTTCACTGTCGGTGGAAATTTCCTGACATGAACGCGACGTTGGGAGGGGCGGCCGAAGCGCAGGTCTTTGAAGTTGCAGTTCCGATTTGCAGCAAGACCAGTTGCAGTGTGACGGCTCGGACTGCTGCCCATCGGTTCATCAGTTCATTGATTCCGACGATTGCCGAGTTGGACCTTGCGACGTTGGACCTAGAGATGGTTATTCCTACGGATGGCACTGGGAGCAGTGAATGGACGCCGGATGGAGCGGAGGTATTGGTGAGAAAGCTGGGGCCGGACTGTGTGGCGTTGGAATGACGACCAGTTGATGAACTGATGCCAAGTGCTGGATATTAAGTCAGGCTGTGATATAACCAGTCTACCGGATACCACAAGCATCGACTTGCTCGACTACTGCATACTATGGCATGATCATCCCATTAGAGTAAAACTACACACAGTATACACCACTCCACCTTCTACCCAACCCCAACCCCATCACAACCACCTATACTACCCCCCAACCCTCCAGTCCAGACTATAACCAGGCTCCCGCCTCGACGATCCCCTTAATCTACCACCCGCAGTGGATCCTCAACCTCAAACAAGCTTAACATTAGCGCGCATCTCGATTCCGTCCGAAACCCCCCACCAATCCATCCCCCAAGACCGAAGACCGAAAACCGAAGACCATATTCTAGATGCGTCTCCACCGACCCCTGTTTGAGATGAGTGGGTTACGTACGTATATAATAGTGATGCAGTTATAGGTGATGAATATATAAGGCGGTTGTTCCCAAGCTTCGTTCAAGGGATAACGACGATCTCTGGAAAGATTACACCATCTCACCTTCACTTCATTACCTTATCTTCAGGAAGATACTACTAAGATTGAACATGCTGGCCAAATCTCTTCTTACCATGGTGCTCAGTGCCGTGCTGGCCACGGCAACTGTTGATCCAGCCACTACTAACACGAAGGGAAAGTGTCCGGGGACGTATAATTGTTCTGGTATCTTCCCTCCCTCCCCACCTTCCTGGATATATTCATCCTCTCCCCGAAACAAACATACCTACATACTAACGATGATAATAAATGATAACAGCCGCCAAAACATCCACCGCCATCCAAGCCGCCGAATGCTCCCACAACACTCGTACTTCCGGTACCATCCCGCCCTCCCTCCCTCCCTCCCATCCATCCATCCCATCTCTTTACCCACCTCCCACCCCCCCAATACATAATAAATACTAATGGGACGAATGAAGGAACCCAAACCTTCGCCGTCTTCAAAACCAACCACGAATACGACTCCTCCTACGGCGCGCCCTACGGCACCTGTGCCGCGTATACCTGCACCGCGCCCACGGATAGTGAAATGACCGATGAGGATGAGGATTGTTGGACGTTTTTTTGGAAGTATGCTCCCTTACCCCAATTGCCCCATATATCTATTTATGAATGTTGGGATGTCTGTGGTGAAAGGACGATGCTAATGGTACTGTTGGGTAGTGATAACGGGGAGTCCTCGGGTTCTGGAACGGGATGTATTCGGAGTCCGGAGGATGGGACGTGTGGGTGTGAGGATTCCGATGGGACGTTTGTTTACGGGGGGAGTGATTGCTCCTAGGTCTTTTTTCTTTAACTTCTTTTAGAGGTTGGGGGTATTTGGGGGGTTGGGTGAGTTTGGGGCTGGGCAGACTATTGAAATATTGAAGGTGGAGATGAGGTCTTACTGTTCTGCTGTGTACATGGTGTAGGAGTAGCCCCAGGCCTGCTGCTGCCGCCGCTGCCGCCGCTGCCGCCGCGTCTAAGGATTGATTGTATGATCAATTGCAGTATACAGTAGAGCGAGGGAGGATAATAACAATACAATACATCAGTCATAAGTAATATCGCTCACATGTCTGCGTCCGTAGTATTACTCGGTGGAATATGCCTACCGAGCCGGTGCCTCCAATTCGGACGGTCCTTGCGCCATAGCCTCATAGTATACCTGTCCTGGACCGTGTCCTTGCCCTTGGTAGACCTGCTGGTCCTGTTGCTGTTGCTGAGGCGCATCCCATCCCCATAAGCCCCCGGTTTGCTGCTGTGGTGAAGACATCCCTCCCACGGATCCTGGGAACTCACTCTGGGGCATCCCCGTGCTATGTTCCATCTCGCTCTTCCGCGGGGCCGTGTTCGTGTTGCCCGAACTCGGACTCAGCAGGGCGGCCCATCGGGCGGTGCGTTCGTGTCGGCCGTCTTGGCTGGACATCCATTGCTTGTAGACGCGGTTTCGACCGAGAACGAAGAACAGCGCCCCGAGGAGGCCGACGAAGGCGACGATTCCGATGACGATGCCTACGATGGCGCCGGTGCTGAGGCCCGAGTTGGAGGTGGATGGGGATGGGGTAGAGGTTGAGGTCGAGGTCGAGGTGGCACTGGAGGTGGGCGGAATGGTGCCTTCGGCGGGCATGGATTGCCCCGGGACGAGCATGTAGGGGTATGATTTGGCTTTTTCGTATTGGGTTTCCCATGTCATGGTGGCATTCTGAGATGGGTTAGTTGGGAGACTAGATGTGAGATTGGAAATTGAGACATACCGGGTTGATGACCCCGACCATGCCATTGCCAATACAGGAATCAATCGCAGTGCAGTAGAAGAATGTAGGCTGAAGATGTTAGTGGATACGAGCAGATGGTATAGAGCATACCTTGGTGTCGTTGACGACGAGGGACCACGTCGGTGGCTACATTCATCAGTATTATCCCATTGTATATATGGGAACATACCGGCCCAACCAACTCTCCATTCTGCTCATTGAAACTATTAAAGATGCCCGAGTAGAAGATGGTCCCGCTGGCCGGCACACACGGCGCATTGTAGTCGGCCTTGACGACGGAGTGGTTCCGCGGATAGAATTCGAACACAATAATATCACCGACCGCAGCAGTGATATTATGGGGGGAGTATTGGTGAGGATCTTCTTTAGAGCCCACCTGGACGGTGTGGGTTGCGATGGCGGAGGTCGTGGTGGTTGCCTGGGGAGTCTCAGTAGTGGAGGGCACGTTAGTGCTGCTGGATTGGGCTCGAGCGGAGACAAGCATCGCCGCGATCGCCAGCAGATGGGATACCATCAAGATGGACAGCATTTTATCGGAACGGCGCTCTGGGAATCTGGTGCTGGAGGGATCCGGAGTCGTCCCGAAGGTTGAGAAAAGTCTGCGGCGACGGAGAGGCACAAAGAAATCCCAGAAACCCCCCCTGATGGCTCAACAAAGAAACGAGTTGGTCTGACGGACGAGGCAATGCCAGACTGATGTACGAGACGTCACAGCGGACAGAAGAGGGGCTGGGTTTCGCCACGTTGGATGGGCGGCCTGTCCCAAGCCATGCCTCGTGTTCACCATCGGTCGGTCCGCGGCGCTGACTGGTTAGGGCTGGACACAACTGCCTTGGCTGCAGGATCTGACCAAATAGTAGCATTTCAGTGTAACTCGTCCGGTTTTAACTTTCGCTGAATTTCATCAATAGTCGCTATTAAAGTGCGGTGGTGTTCGACACTTGGATCAGCATCCGCCGGTACGTGGTCAACGGCGGACTGCCCGTGTCCTCTACTTGCAGGATCAAATGCAATAACTGACAGCCCTCCTCATCGCAGGTGTCCTCCGCAGAAGGAACCTCTACCGACGCCATCCTCCCTCCAGCAGTGGTTGTGATGTTCAGTTCCCCCACAGTGCCCTCCGCCGACGCGTTATCCGTGGACGGCTCGAGATATTGGAACCAGTGGAAGGACAAACTATCGCCATCCGGATCATATGTCTCAGCCACGTCGAAAGCCACCCTCTCCCCAACAGAGGCGTGGACGGACACAGGGTCCAACCCGCCCGTCCCATTCACAATCACCACCGGGTTATGATTCCAAGTCTTGTTCGTCTCCGACGCGGACAACGTCCATTGCATTCGCGCTGCAAAATCGTTCTGGTACGCCGCTCGCCAGCGCCAGATCGTCGCTTTGTTCGACTTGAACGTCTGATTGTTCATGCCGACGACCTGGTCCTCCGCGTCGCTGTAGTGGTTGTCCCAGTCGCAGGTGTCACAAACAGCCGAGTATCGTCCTCCCCAGCTGCCATACCGAGGGTGCTCTCGATCGCCCAGTCCGTTTTGGATGACATACAAAAGCGTCGGGCTATCTCCCTCCATGATGTATTCGAAATCGGGGTACTTGGCACCCAGCGTGCCGATTCGGATGTTCTTTTTCAGCCATTCATGCGACACAAGGGAGGAATCTGGACCGCCCTTGTCAAAGTCGTAGCCTAGTTCGCCGGAGATGCCCGGCCAGGTCGCCCCTGCATACTGATCGAATCCGTGCACCGAGGAGATATAGTGGATGTCGGGCCAGTTGTGGCGGATCCACGGACCGGTGTCATCTTGATCCGAGATGGTATAGACTCGGAGATTGGCACGAAGAGCGGCTGCCTCGGAGGGAGAGTGAGTGAGAGAGATATTTAGAAGAGCTTGTGCAAGAACGTTGGTGCCAGACCACACAAGGACCCAGAGGGGCTGGTCCGAGGATGTGTTGGTGATGCTTTTGATGAGGAGCTCTGCGCCGGGGCTATAGGTGTTGTTGTTCTGAAGAGCCTTCATGCCGTAGACCTATACCTCCGGTTAATGATGAACATCCAGCTGTAGTAGACATACTGGAAGTCCATGAGACACAATTCCCCGTAGATAGTCTGCCGACGGATACGGGGCATCTTCAGGAGCATGATTGTTCAGATTATCCACCACCTTTGCGTAAGCATCGATCGTGTCCAGCATCAAGTCTGGACGCACTTGGTCCCTCAGCCAGGTGGACGTGGTGGCCACGATGCCCTCATTCTGGAACTGATTGCTATAAACCAGGTAACGGACGAGCGACTCGGAATCGTCAGGCTCATTGGCGATATCCGAGAGGATAAAGACCCGCGGCTTAGTAGGGTAGGAGAGGAGAGATCGGTTGGTTTGGCTATGAGACAGGGCGAGCGTCAGCCCAGCGCTGAGAAGCAACAAAACAGACTTCATTTTAGAATGATGGAAAATCTGCTTGACTCACCACTGTCGAAGACCGCCTATTTATATTCCTGGTGCAGGATTCAGATGTTGTATCCAACTCGCTGCTCGATGAGACTGCAATGCCGCGATGACAGCCGACGAGAGTCACTCTGATGATCGACATGCGGGGAATGGAATGCCTGCATTGCGGGGCGTTAGTTGCATCCCCGGAATCTGTCTAACTTGGAAGGGATAGCCACCGAGGAATCCGAGCCAACCGGACCAGGCAGTCTCTCAATCAGGAAGAATTATGCACGCTGTTTTCGGATGAAGTGGCTCGAGCTGCTTGATTGGGAGGGAGAGAGCAGATTTACCCTGAATAGCCTATTCGGGTGGATGGAGAAGCTATTCAAGGTTTCATGGGGTTCTGGAGTCGAAGGGCGGGAACATGCAGAAGTAATGTAATTTACCCGGGTTGCTGGACTACACCACTCCCCTCTCCACATCCATCGTTCCAGACCAACAGCGTGGCTACTTCTACTACCAGATTTTTGAACTATCTGTGACATACCGTGAATCTCGTGTTTGTGGCCTGTTAGATAGAATCGTCAAGGTTTGAGAATCGGACTACTCTAAGGATCGAAAGGTAAAACATAGCATTATGACTTTTGACTGCTGAGACTCCTCCACAGCTCAGATAATACGGAATGCCCGACTGCTAACTACTGGACAGTAACTACGGACCACGGTACTGCAGACTGCGACTGCGTCTACGTATCACTCAGTGAATCATGGACATCATGCTCGCGCCCGAGGACATCACATCATTTCCCCAATCCTCCTCTTCTAGATCCTCATCATCCAGCACCACCGGATTCACCGCCAGGGATCCCCGAGGCACAAACGACGAGATCAGAACCAGCAGGGAGATCACACTGAATTGCACGCTCGCCACATTGCGGATCGCCCTGTGGATGTCGCCCCCGCCGTTCGAGCCTCCCGTCTCCACGTACACCCGGTCAATGTAGCTGCCCAGGATCGGCGAGATGACCGCATACAGCACAATGTAGGTGGAGTATAGAAAGGCCATGACCGCCCCGAGAGCAGACACATTGCTCGACGTAGATTCCATCCGGGACAGCGTGGCCTGGATGTACGCCGCCAGCGAGACATCGCCGGCCGCCCAGCCGAAAGAAATTGGAATAAAGGTGGCGGCAGCAAACAAAGCATCCAGGACGTGCCGGACCCGAGGCTTCCAGAAGGGCAGGTACCAGGTGATGAGAAGCATGAGCGCATCGACTCGCAACCAAGGGATGGGCGTGCGAACACGGTTGTTGAGAATAATCACAAAAAAAGCCCCGAGCAGCTCTCCGAGGTTGGACCCTCCGACCATGATTTGCGACCATGCCGCATTGCCTAGATAGCGACGCGCAAGGGCCGGCATGACGGCGCTCTCGAGGTAGCGATGAGCATACAGTGCAATCGAGTAACCAGGAAGCAGCCAGATGAATTTCCGGGTGGTGAAGATGATCCGGGCACCCACCCAGATGGACTCCAGAAAGAGCCTGGCTCCGGTCAGTGCCGCTCGAACATAAGGGGGGTGGTCATCGGAGGCCTCGGCTTTCTGAGCCTTGAACACTTGATCTCCTAGGAAGAACCATGCGAGAGCCGCGAGTGCAAAACAGACGGGCGTCACAAGGAAGGAGTAATTATTTCCCAGGCGAGGGATCAAAACCAGTGCAGTGCAGAAAGCGCCAGCGGTGCCAGACACTTCATAGAAGATATGAACCAGGGCATCCAGGCGACGCAGCCTCTTGAGATTTCCGCCCACGATGTCCCGAGGAATGATCCGGCGGATCAGCTCGACCATCCCATAGCTAAAGCCACCGACACAGTAGATCGGGATCATGCTGTCCGTGTTGTAACGGCCGTAATAGTGGAAGTCGTTCTCGGGGTGGTGAGGACGGAAGGCGACCGGAACAAAGGTCCCTCCAGTGCACGCGTCCATAATGAGAAGGATGGCGCTGAAGACACCAAAGACCAGCACGGCTGCCATGAGAATCACTCGGGCTGGATAGCGACGAATCAGTGGTGCGATCAAAATAGACCCCACGCACTGGCACGCTTGATTGAGGCCGACCATGAGTCCAACGCGCTGAAAGGTCTTGGGCGGTGTGTGAGTGCGAAGAGCATCATAATCGTAGCGATTGGTGGCCAGGGTGATGATCGAGCCGTTAAAAGCTTCCAGACCGAACTTGTAGAAGACAATGCCCAGGATGTAGAATGCAGCCTCGTGCCGTTCCTTGGGCGTGAAGTCGTTCCAGCCCTTTTGGACGCTCTTGAACAGGCCCATGGCTTACTATGATCAGTAACTTGCAGAAGCGTAGGACCGGCGAGATCGCAGAAGGTCAGTGTAACGATAGGATATGGGATTTAGCAGACGCTTCAGTGATGGGGCTGTAGCTCTTACTGGAACCTGCACTGTTGGGGAACGAAGAGATGCAGGATCGTTGCAGGGCATGTTGACTCACTTCACCCATTTCCTGCATAGAATATCTACGGTTGAAGGTGCATTGGAGTGAATTGTTCTGGGCTACTCAACCATAATCGGGCCAGTGAATCCAAGCTGGACCTGGTGGTCGAGGGTCGCAGAACGCTAGCCTGAGGCAGCCACATCAGCCTAGGATGGATGCCTGAGGATCTATCAATGCGACTGTTCTTGTCCAGATCTGCTGGGGCACCAGTCGTAATACTCATAAATGCCAGCTGCCAGAGACACAGTGACTTGGATTGTTCTACCCACCAAGCCGTACAGACTTAAGAGACTGACTTATACCCCAGTCCGGGGGCGAATCCGGCATCTGCATGATTGGACTGCCGTGTAGTCGTTTGTCCAGCTGAACACCGCCAGATAGCCACCTGGATGTCTTGCCTTGGACCTTGCGGATAGAGACTCTGCATCCGATGACGACATGCTGGCCATCCTGCACGCTCGGAGCGCTTCCTGGAGCCAATCCTCCCCTGATCAGCTCCTGGATCGTGGTGGGCTGGTCTGGTTTGCAACACCAAGCTCCCCCACCCCGCACCCTCTGCTGCAGCATGGACCTAGCTACCTGCGAGCCAGCTGTCGTTGCACCCAAAGCGACATATCAGATGATGACCATGGCACCCGATGATCCCAGGATGATCCTCTCGTGAATGAACTTAGACAAGCCAGCGAGATCCCCATAGCATGCGAAATGATTCGGAAGAAGTGAAAAAGATAGGGAAGAAACAGGTAGAAATAAAGGATAACGGGAGTAGATAAGACAACTCCAGACGGAGAATTGGCATCGCACTGGCTTGCAGGTCTGCCATGTCGACATTCATGCGGAACGTCTCGTGCTTGGCAGATAGCCGGCCACGTGCATCTCCGACCGCATGTGTTTCGCTTCCCCCCAAAGATGAGTGCTCCTTCATTAGACTTTCCCACTGGACGGTTCCGGAGGGGAGGATGCTCCTGGTCCAACGCCCTGACTGGCTCGTTACCTCGCGGCTTACGGCATAGAGTCAGCGACTGTACTCGGCCTGAGTTTAAGCTGTGGTGGTTGTCCCATGCATGTCCGGCTTGTCGATCGGGGAGTTAAACTGAGGTCCATCTCAAGCTGGAGAGCCCCCCCGTTGGAGACTGACCAACCACGGCCGCCCGGTGGGGGTCCGGGGTATCCATCCGGCACCGCCTCGGGGTCCCGTTGGTGGCCGCATTGTCCGTCGTCGCGCAAGAATGACTTAGAATGACTTTGACACCCGTTCTTGGGTTGGTGGCTCTTATCGGGGATTGCCTCCAACTCGAGCCCAAAACGCCTTCGTCCACTCGGCCGCGTGACTCCCCGCCCACCATCCTCACCGACTGATTCGATCTTTCGTCGTTTATCGCCCTCAATATCGGTGGTTTGACTTTTTGCTTTTGTTTTTTTATTCTTTTTTGGCTCATTCCTTCGTCCACCCCAGCACTATATATGTCTTCCCTCCTCCCCCACCATGTCGCTTGTTGAGCCTGCGCAGTTGCCGGTTCTGCTTTTCTGTCGCAGGCCGTGATCGATCTGAGTCGGTTCGAGGAGTGGAGATACCATCTCATCCTCGGGCTGCATCGAGACGATCGTTTGATCCCACCAGTGGCCTGTTCTATCCTTCTATCTCACCCCTCCAGCTGGACACCCAAAATAAATTGAAGGGTCGGTGCTCAGCTGAAATTTCCTACCCTACAGTCCCAGCTATCCCCAGGGTCCAACTGACTAGACGCGGATCTTGCAGCTACTAGCCTCGATTCCAAGCTGCGGGACCTGTCTCCGATTCGTTGCTCTGATCCGCAACAATGGCGACCGAAGAAGCTCCCACGGCTTCCCCCGCAGAGCAGTCACAGCCATCCAAAGGGTGGTGGAAACGATTGCGTGGAACCAATGCCCCCGAGACACCCACCATCACTACAAGCGAAAGTCCCTATCGTCCAAAAGCCACCCTAGGCATTCTAAGTGACAAGGAGACAGATGAAGTACCTGGTATGTTGCAGCGGAGAGAGCGCCGATATCTATGGGATGATCTTGCTGACGTGATTTAGGAACTGTTCTTCTGCTCTCTTCGAACCGCAATGAGCCTCTTGGGCTGAAACACCAACCGCATCGTGAATCTGGCTCGTCCTTGCCTTCACCCTACCCTCCGTCACGTTCCTCGTCTCGTGCGCGTCCGTCGAAAAAGAAGACAGCGGATGGTAACATCGTTTTAGAACCCCAGCCTGATGACTCGGTCAACGACCCTCTCAACTGGCCGGTGTGGCGGCGAGATGCCGCGTTGGTTTCTTTGGGATTCTACTGCCTCATGGGGGGCGGTATGACTCCCATTCTTGCCGCTGGGTTCAGCCAAGTGGCTGCTGCATATGATGTGGATACGCAGAAGGTCGCATATACAACGGGCTTGTACATGTTGGGTCTCGGAGTCGGGTCCGTGATCATGTCCCCAACAGCGATTCTCTATGGAAAGCGGCCGGTCTATCTTCTAGGCGCGACCCTCTTTATCATCTCCGCTGTCTGGTGTGCGCTGTCGCCCAATTACCCCAGCTTGGTCGTCGCTCGCATTTTCCAGGGCATTGCGGTGAGCCCGGTAGAATGTCTGCCCTCTGCGACTATCGCGGAGATTTACTTCCTGCACGAGCGGGCGTACCGTGTCGGCATCTACACACTCCTGCTTCTGGGTGGCAAGAACCTGATTCCCTTGGTCAGTGCAGCTATCATTGGCAGCTTGGGATGGCGCTGGGTGTTCTGGATCGTTGCCATCGTCGTCGGCGCTTGTCTGGTGCTTCTTTTCTTCTTTGTTCCCGAGACGTTCTGGGACCGCACGCCCCGGCCACGCCGGGCCCGCAAGCGCCCCAGCTTTTACCGCAGCGTGTCGAATATTGTGTCACACGGGTTGAGGGGTCGACCACCGCATGCGCATCGTCTGGAGGACCAACCCCCAGACCACGACCCCACCTCAACGGAGCCGAAGAAACCCAAGAAGGGCCACGTTGGGTTTGTGGATGACCATGACGAGACGACCGAAACCATTCCCGAGAAGGTAGAGGGTATTGATGGTGAGGATCACATATCTCCATCCAATGAACCCGTAATGGAGCATCCTGAGATCAGAGAATCGCTGGGCGAGGACCCTGAGAAGTCTCACGGATTTCTTCATCCTCCCGCGGTGGGGCATACTCATCATGACGATGTTGAAGCTGCCCGACACACCGCTATGTCCCCGGCTCGTAGTGAGTCGCCCGATTTAGGTGTGCCAACCACATCGGCGGCTCATTATACGAATCGACTCCGGGAGCAGCCGTCTATCCCATACTCTTACTATCTCCGCCCGTGGAATGGCCGTATCGCCCATGACAATTGGCTGCGGGTGGCGGTGCGGCCGTTCATTCTCTTTGCGTATCCGTCCGTGCTGTGGTCGACCGTGGTGTATGCTTTGTCCGTCGGCTGGCTCATTGTCCTGTCGGAGTCGGTTGCTACCATCTACGAGCAGCGGGACACATACAACTTCACCGCGCTGCAAACCGGTCTCGTCTACATTTCGCCGTTCGTCGGGGGCCTGCTCGGGACCGCCGTGGCCGGTAAGGTGTCCGACATCATTGTCCAATACATGACCCGGCGCAACGGGGGCGTGTACGAGCCGGAATTCCGCCTGGTGATGGCGATTCCGATTGCGATCTCGACGACCATCGGACTGATGGGGTTCGGATGGAGTGCGCAGGAGCGGGATGCGTGGATTGTGCCAACGATCTTCTTCGGGCTGGTCTCGTTTGGGTGCTGCCTGGGGAGTACGACGGCCATCACGTTCTGCGTGGACAGTTACCGACAGTACGCGGGGGAAGCCTTGGTGACGTTGAACTGGAGTAAGAGTAGGTTTCCTGATCTTGGTGCGACTTGTGAATGAACGCTAACGATGGAGACAGATGTATTTCACGGCCTGATCTTTTCGCTGTTCATTGTGGATTGGCTGGATGCGGAGGGATCCCGGATGGTGTTTATCGCCCTGGGGGTGATCCAGCTGGGGTGCCTGTTGTTCTCGATTCCCATGTACATTTATGGCAAACGGGCGCGGATGTGGACGGTTCGGATGCGCCTGATGGAACGCTTTTAGACGGGACAGGCGGCCCGCCGAGGGATGGACCGCGTCCCATTGGCCGGGAGGATCGCATGATCGGATGATTCTTGTTTTGAGTTGTAGATCTGCGCTGTATCATGATACCTATCTTAGATCGCATATACTATGGGATACTATCCATGCAGCTAACGCATTTACCATTGCCCCGTCTCCATGTGGCGTCTGCTGAAGTCATGGAAGCCCCTCCGAGCCCTGCCGGCCGGAGCCTCTCTGCGCGACGACTTTGACATCGATGGGATGTCATGAACATCCACTAGTGGGATGTCGATGGTGATAGTGGCCTTGCAAGTGTCTGTGACGGATGGGTGGCAACGGCAGCCACAGCCATTGGGCCATTTGCCCATCCATGGACCGCCCGTGACATTTCAATCGGCATCTCCCGTCCAATCCGGTTCTAGACTGCTGAGTCACCGCCACCGCTTCCCGCCAGTTGCTGGCTGACGGGCGCCAGCTGCAGCCACGTCGATCATGACGCGCCGGACAACGTCAGAGGGACCATGGCCGCGGACTCACTTCCATTGCCTGTGGGAGTCTCGCAATGATGGTATGTATTCGTAGAATCCGTCCGAGTTGATCGCGCGGTGGTGAAACCCTCGACACCTGAAGGGGTCGCTGCCTGAGCCCTCAGGACGGGCACCTGACGGCCCCCTGACTGGTGGCTTTCCAGGCCGGGAACGGGGTTCTAGGGCCAATGAGGCTCCACCGCAGACCCCGTCGACCCCCTCAAGGGGACTAGCGTCAAACAGAAAAACCGGTATTCCGTCATGCTGACTGGCCAATGGTCGGGGGTCTGGCCAACTGGGAAATCAACCTGAATCTGGCTGCCGGCTTCACTGGATACAACTCGGCTCCAGTGGAAGACAAGTGAAGGCACCCGGGACGAGCTACGGCCAGTCTGCCAGGGGTGTAACAGCCAACCGGGTTTACTCTGGTACTATTGACGGTAGTGGACTGGCCCCCATCTTGATCCCTGATACTTAGTACTTACTCCCTTGGGTAAGTGGTGGAGTGGGCTTGTTATTCGCTGGAGGTTCGTCCATCATTCAGATTCAGTCTGCTCATTCATCTTGCCACTGTTCGGTTCCCACGGGAGGACTCTCAGGGACTGACGACGCCCAGCACGCCTTGCCCGCTGGACACACGGCTAAAGTTCGAGCATTCCACAGGACTCAGCGGGGTGCCTGTCCCGCGTGGAATGAGCCCAGCGCTGGGCTTGCGTGGGCCGGAGATGCTAATTCCACCGCGCTGCGATGTACTGCACGCAGTCCTTGATATTAAACCCGTCCCTGTCCAACCTTGTTTCAGGGCTTCTTTTTCGCTCCTTTCCTTCTGCTCCGCTTCCTTTTCCCTTTTCCCTCCTCTCATTCTTTCCTGAGTCTTGACTCCTCCTCTCTCCCGCCAACATTTTTCGCCACACTCTATCTCAACCACGCCAGCCTCCGCCAGCCAGCCAGCCCCCACCCCGGCCAGAATGGATGCGTAGGCCATCGACGCCATCGCTTCCTATCTCCTCTTCGATCGATCTTCCCTGGTCCCTTGATTCTTCTCACCCCCCACCATGGAGATTTCTTCCCCTCCGCCGAGAGACGATGACCACAGCACCGGTCGCCGAGTCCGCGAGCTCTACCGTTATTTCCGACCCGAACGGACCGGCAGCTTTCAGGATCGCTATCGGGGCTCTTCATCGGAGGATACACCACCCCCAACCTTTTTAGATCCCTCGTTTCCACCGCCGTCCCCATCGTTATGCTCACAGTCGCTATCGTCGGGTCCCGCCATCGGTCCAGCGTCTGCGGGGCTAGTGCCCGAGGCCCTGGTCCTGGGCGACCCTAATGCGACTTTGACATCTTTCGCGCAGCTTGCCGCCTTGCGTCTGAATGTGGAGCGTGTGTTGATCAGGTACGATTAGGAATGACCTCGATCTCCTTCCATGGCCCTGCTGACGAAAATCCAGTGTTTCGGATCGCCAGTCGCAGTTCATTCTAGCCCAAAGCACACGCACCGGTGGGGTCAGTGACTATGAGACCGCCGGTGCGGGCGTCTGGAATGGGTGCTCTACCATCTCTACAAACGCCTGGAGCATGTGCAAGGTAGGTGCCTACTCGTCAGAGAAGTTCGTAGATCGGCTACTCAACTCTGCGTTACGTCCTTCGTTACAGGCCACTGTTTCTCTACCGCCCACCAACCGAGAACGGGGACAGCACAGCTTCCTCGTCATCAACGATCTGCGCGACGATGACCGCTACAAACGCCTCCCCTTGGTGCAGGGGGAGCCCGGCTTTCGGTTCTACGCGGGCACGCCCTTGACGACCGAGACGAACATCAACATCGGCTGCTTTTTCGTTCTGGATACCAAACCACACAATGGGTTGGATGATGCGGAGAAGGAAACCCTCGGGTCGTTGTCGCGATTGATTATGGACTACCTGAAGGTCAGCCGCCAGGCCTCCGAGGGTCGTCGCGCTGCTCGGCTATCCCGGGGTCTGAGCTGTTTCGTCGAAGGCAGTTCCAGCTTCGTGGACGCGACTCATCCGGCCTCCGTCGGCTGCTCGGCATCGGTGCCTAGCCCCCCGCCCTCGTCGAGCCAGAGGGCCAACCATCTGTCTGTGGGCTCGTTCAACAGCTTTGACGTGCCGTCGCGACGATCTCACAGCTGCGACGGCCGTTCCTTCAGCTCGGCGTCGGATTCCAAGGCCGACCAGGGCGTCTCGTCCGGGCCCGACACGCCGCTCCCCGATTGGTGGTCCGGCAGCCGCCAGAAGGAGCTGAATGGACTGGACGAGTCGCAGGGGCACACCTGGGCGTTCCGACGAGCGGCTAACTTGATCCGAGAGAGTCTGGAACTGGGCCCTGAGGGCGGCGTCATCTTTGTGGAAAACAGCAACAGTCCGATGATGGACGCGGACACGGGGAGTGATTGCTCGGTGGAAGGCAACAATCCCGCGCCGGTGCTGGCCATTTCCACCAACGACGAGCCGTTTGCGCCAGGCCCGGGCTCCAAGGTGCTCTACCCGGCTGCAAATCTGGAGAGCTCGTTCCTGCATCAGCTCCTGCGTCGCTACAGCAAGGGCAAGCTGTGGTCCTTCCATCGCGACGGAATGATCTCCAGCTCCGACGATGAATCCCCGCGGCGGAGTCGCTCCCGGGCGCCCAAGGGGCCTGAGATGGGCAAAGGCGGGTCGAAGAAGTGGAAGTCGATGGAGAACTCCATGCTGAATCTGTACTTTCCCAACGCGAGCCAGGTGATTTTCGTGCCGCTCTGGAACTCCGCCAATTCGCAGTGGTTTGCGGGGTGCTTCTGCTGGAATACGGAGGAGACCCGCGTCTTCAGCTCCTCGGTGGAACTGAGTTCGATCCTTGGCTTTGGGTCTTCGATCATGGCCGAGTGCAACCGGGTTGAGTCGCTTATTTCCGACCGACAGAAGGGCGACTTTATTGGCAGCATATCGTATGTCTGCCTTACTTGATTGTGCTTGCTTGTTGTTTTGATGTGAAGTGGAATGCTGACATATTCAGACATGAATTGCGAAGTCCGCTGCATGGTATCTTGGCGGCTGCCGAGTTTCTGAACGGCACAAATCTGGATGAATTCCAGGGCTCCCTCTTGGAGACCATCAATGCGTGCGGGCGCACCTTGCTCGACACGATGAATCAGGTGCTCGACTTTAGCAAGATCGTGTCGTTGGAACGGACGTATCGCAGCCTGAAGCGCAGCAAAACGTCACCTGCGGAGCTCAAGGGTCTGGACCGGTTCTCCGCCCACCTCGACACGTATGTGGCCACGGACTTGGCTCTGTTGGCTGAAGAGGTGGTGGAAGGCGTGTGCCTGGGCCATGCGTATGGCCAGCGATCGGCCGCCCCGTACGATCAGCCGGTGGTCTTGCCGTTGGCGATGCGAGGACCGCGGAAGCCTGACCCCGAGACCAAGCCGAAATCTCGGCCGGAGGTGGAGGTGGTCATGGACATTGCCCACAACGACTGGGTCTACAAGACGCAGCCCGGAGCTCTGCGACGCATCGTCATGAATGTTTTTGGCAACGCCATGAAATACACACACAGCGGTCGCGTGTCTCTGCACCTGGAAGTCACTGAGGCGTCGGAGGGTCGCGCGCGTCGGCACGGAATCGAGGAGCTGGTCACCTTGACCGTGTCGGATACCGGCAAGGGCATCTCGGAGGAGTTTCTGCGCGGCCGGCTGTACACGCCGTTCGCCCAGGAGGACACGCTGGCGGTCGGCACCGGCCTCGGCCTCTCCATCGTCCGGAGTCTCGTCAAGTCGCTGAAGGGCAGCATCCACATCCACAGCCGTCCGGGGGAGGGGACAATCGTCAAGGTCTCCCTGCCTCTGGTGCGACCCGGCCCGGAGTTGGAGCTGGAAGAACCCGTCCGTCCTCTGTCGCCCACCAGCACCGAGAAGGATGCCTTGACAGAAAGCCGTCTCCTGCGCGAGACCCATGTCGGCCGCCGCGCCGCCATTCTTGGGGTGGACCCTGCCCAAGCGGCCTCGCATCCCCTGTGGTCGATCTACTCCCGCTATCTGACTGATTGGTATGGCCTGGAGTTGGTTTCCTGGCCATCCGGCACGCCCGTAGATATCGTCATGGCGGAGGAGCAAAGCTTGGCTGATGTCCTCCCCGAGGTCGACGCGGCTCTCCCTTCGCTGCTGATCCTGTGCAACAAGTCGGTTGACTACACGGTGGCGCGCTCGCAGTGGTCTTCCCTGGCCAACGTGGTGAACATCGTCCGTCGTCCGTGCGGGCCGCACAAGCTCGCTCGCAGCATCCGCAAATGCCTCGACACGCAGGTCGAAGAGGTTTCCACCCACACGTTTCAGCTACCGGAACGGCCCCGCAATTCTACTTTGTCATCGGCTGGTGATGTGTCGCCGGGCGAAAAGTTGTTCGGGATCACGACCGATACGTGCGAACTGGCTCCGGAGATGACGACCAGCTCTGGATCGGCCTCGTCGATCGATTATCCGCGCTCGCGGACTTCATCGGATGGCTTGGAGCCATTGTATGCCACCACCTCTCCACCGCTCCCGATCCGGGCCCCGTCGCCATTCAAAGAGGTGATAGTTCCGGAGACGCAGCGGCGGCCGCGCGTCCTGGTGGTCGACGACAACAGCATCAACCTGAATCTGATGCTGACCTTTATGAAGAAGCGCCAGCTGGCGGCATTGGACTCGGCGGAGAACGGCAAGTTGGCTGTGGATGCGGCTGAACGGATGCAACAAGGCTACGATATTATCTTCATGGGTGAGTGATTTCCCGTGCTCTAGTATTACTCTGCTGACTGGACTTAGATATGTCGATGCCGGTGATGAACGGGTTTGAAGCCACCCGTGCAATCCGGGCCATGGAAAAAGAGCGCGGCTCGAGCTGCAAACCGGCTGTGATTATTGCGTTAACGGGGCTCAGCAGCTCACGGGACGAATCCGAGGCGCTGGCTTCGGGGGTGAATCTGTTCCTGACCAAACCAGTGTCGTTTAAAGAAGTGTCGCGGTTATTGGCTGAATGGGAGGAAACGGGGCTGGAGGGTCGGCGTTTGTCTGGGAACTAAATGGTTGCTTCTGGAGGCTGGAGGTGGGATTGCTCCGTACACGGATATGATGCATGAGTGATACCCTGGCGTTTGGTTTGCATGGAATGGACATCTACAGTACATACAGTACATATACAGTACATATCTAGATGTGATTGAGTGGGCGTCCCTGCATAGCAATGACTCAAATACGACTTCAGAGTACCTCTCTCTCGACGTAAACAAAATCCTTATTATATATGACTATACCGACTCCCATCCCATCCCTCCCACCTCAACCAACCTCAACCAACTACACAAATGACTGATGAATTATGACCGTTCATTAACCCCCTCCCGCATCGCCCCCAAATGCTCCCAACCAAGGGTATCCTCCCCCAAACTCCACGCCATGACACCCCCCAACCCCAACTCATCCACAATATCCGTAAACTTGCGGTCAATCATATCGGCGGTATCCCACGTCCAGAACACATCCACCTCGTCGTCGAAATAGTACTGGCCGCCTTTGTCGTCGTCCAAGGTGCCGGAGGATAGTGCTCTGCGCCAGGAATCGATGATCGAGATGCCTTTGCAGGTGCCGTAGTCGGAGAGGCAGCCCGCTTGGCAGAAGTCGTCGGTTGTGCCGCTATACCCATTTTTATATTAGTATGTGGTGGTGGTGGTGGTGGGGTAATATGACACACAGCGAAGAGAAAAGATGGTAGAGGGGGGGGGGGAGGGGAGGGATAAACATACCAATTCCCATACTGACTACAACACTGACCAGCCGGACACTTGGTCCCCTTATCAAACCCACACGTACCATCATAACTCGTCTTCAGATTCGCCGGGGGATCACTCATCACACTCTTCTCAAACGTCAAACTCCCACTCTTCCCATTATCACTCCCATCCGCATTCTCCATCACCACCGTCTGACATCCCAACGGCTGCGTCTTACAATCCGCCTCCGGATCCGTCTCGAACCACTTCGCGTAATACGCCATCCCCAGATTCGTTTTCTCGGCCGGGAGTCCTATATCCGCGTATGCTTTGATGGTATTATATGAGTCCACGACAGAAGTATGATGCATGGTGAGATTATTCCGTCGATTCATGAGATCGTACGTCATGATGTTGGCCATGTCGATGGAGGGCCAGATCTGGGGGCCTGTGGTGGATGTGAAGGCGATCATGTCTTCGAGTTTTCCGGGGACGGCGATGGAGAGGGTTTTGTTGGGCCCGATGGCGGAGCGGATCGCGCTGAGGAAGAGTGGGTAGGTGGTTATTTCGCTGACTTTGGCGCTGTTCGGAACTTGTTTGTAGTCTGCGCCGTTGCCGCCGGGGTATTCCCAGTCGATGTCTGCGTTGGATTATTTAGGATTGCTGTTTGGGTGGGAGGTATTGGGGGAGGTATTGGGGGAGGTATGGGGGGAGGTATGGGGACTTACCGACGCCATCAAAGCCATTCGCATCGAGCATGGCGGCGACGTTTTTGGCGTACCGCGTCCGCGAAGTCTCGTCTTTGGCGCCGTCCGAGAAGCCAGAGCTATCGCCCCAGCCGCCGATGGCGATGGTGACTTTGGTGTCGGGGCTGAAGCGGTTACGCATGGTGGAGACGGGCTCGAAGGGAGTGAAGGGTTGGGGGGAGTCGGAGTTGAAGAGTGTCGATGGGGCGAATGCCATGATGGCGTGCGTGATGCCCTCGGTTTGATCGGCCCCGGGGAGGTCGGTTGTGTGGTATCTTTGCTTCTTTGTTAGTGTGGACATGATGGTTGGCTGCTTGCTGCAGGAACGTACTCGTCGATGTACATGGCGAAGCGGAGACCCGCGACGCACTGCAGGCCCATCAGGCCCAATGCGATGGGTTTGAACATGATGACGTGCCTGGAGAGGGAGATGGGAAATACGCAAAGGGTGGACGGAGTAGACTGTCACTGTCCGGGCACACCCGCTTATAACATGGTCGGGTTAGTGATCGGAGCGACATTCTGGACGTCGATGATGGGCTCAGGTATGTTGCCGCTGCTGAGGGCTTCACTGGGGTAGGGTATGTTGGACTGTGGAGGCCTTGGTAGCTGAGGTAAATGGTGTCCACTGGAGTAACATACCGGGAGCATTCCTCATGGCATACCTCGTTGCTCGGCAGACGAACTTAAATGCAGCATTCAAGGCGTAGTGGTAGCTGCTGAACAGATCAAAGTGGACAGCAAGAAACATTGTAAACATCAATGAACTCCATATTATGTACATCTGGTCAATCCCAATGGCGTCGGATAATCGGACGGGCCGGATCCCAAGGCCCCGTCACCACATTCTTATACTTCTGGAGACTGATCAGCCACCAGCTGCATCCCCCCATCCCCAGCGCCGTCAGGATACTCCCCAGAATGCACCCAACCACTGCCGCCGCCCATCCCCCGCGGAGTGTGATCCCCACCGCGCCGCCAGCAACGCTCACCAACCCCAACGTGAGTAGCACATGCCCCGTCCAAGACACATGGCGCAGCTGGCGCCGGAATATGGGGAACAGTCCAAACACCTCGATCGAGAAGAGCATGAGACTGAACACATGCGTCGTCGACGGCAGCCGCGACGCGAGCACCGTCGACGCCATCACCGCTGCATTGGTCGACAGAGAGGCCGGAAACTTGGTGGCGCCCGCGCCCTCCCCGCTTCCATAGTCAAAGGAGAAGATGTTCATGATCAGCAGCCAGCAGCTCATGGCCCATATCGAGTCACTGGCCGTGGATTTCGTAAGCGACTTGAGGATCGGACTGAGCCCGAGCAGTGCGAAGTAGATCAGAAAGGCCGACTTGACCGTCGACAACCGCTGTCGATTGCGCGAGGAAAACGTCGACATGTCTGGCTCAGGAGAGCCGTTGAACATCCCATTGGACGGCCCAGGAGACCCCGGTTCTTGACCCCCGTAGGCATCCCCAACATACCACGTACTATGCCGTCGAACCAGCTCGCTGTCGCCCTGCGCCATGCTCAGTCCCAGCCCGTGCACCTGGTGCTCCTTCTGCCCGTTGGCGCGCGAGCTCGTCCCAGACGGATTGACCGAACTAGTCATGGAGCTCGAGCTCGACCCATCATCCCCCTCCAATGCCCGTTCCGCGCCATGCGCATTCTCCACATGTTCCCTCAGTATCCAAGAGTCCCAAAAGATCCACCCCAACGCGGTGCCGACACTGCCCCAACACACGACCGACACCGGACTCACCCGGCCCTGCACAATGCCCACAAAGCAGCAGACGAATATCGCCACCGAGCTCACATGTTGTACAATCACCGTCGAGTCCGCCACCAACGGCCAGAAATCGTAAGGCCGCACCCGGGGATTCCGCTGAAGATGGTCCAGAAACGTCTCGGTGTCGGTGTAATTATCGGGATCTGTCACATCAGCCATATTCCCATCCCAGTGGGCATAGATAGGGACATACACGACTGCTTCACCCACAGGAGCTTCTTCCACGCCCCCTTCCGTCGTCTCCGTCGACTAGTTCCGCGCACCTTGCGACTCCCTACCGGCACCGCGGGCGGAGGTCGCAATGCCGCCACGGAGGCGGCATTCCCGTTTAGCACGCGGAGCGATTCATCGTAGCCGGTGGCTGTCGGTCGAGCCCGGGGCACGGATGAGGTGTAATATGCATCTTCAGGGGCCAGGCGGGTGGGATCCGGGAGGGCTCGTGGCGCGGTAGGCGTGGACTTGACGCCGACGGTCCGGTTCGGATGCGTCTCGACGGGCACGGGCGGAGGGACCGGGGGAGGCGAGTCAGGCAGGGAAGGCATCAAGCAGGGCGGGATTCACCTGTCGCATAACATGATGTGATCTGCCTGTCCTGAAGGTTGCTGTCGGGGACGCGAATCGTTACGATTGCGGCCTTCCACGTGGTGCTTAGTCATCGCTTGATGCATCGGGACTACATTTACTGAGTGTCCTTACTGACCACCATTACTGATTACTGAATGGGAAACATGACTATGTACAAAAGGCATATGCTTAAAGAGAATCCGCAAATAAGGCGGCTCCAACTAGGTTTGTAAAACGTGCAAAACATCAACTACAATCCGCTCGGACCCGTCATCCAAGCCTCGTGCCTGCTCGACCAACAGGCGAAACTCTCCATCACTGTTTTCAAAGAGATAGTGTTGCTCACGCTGTGACGAGATCTGGCATGCAAGGATCTTGACCTGGGTGTCCCGATCGCAAGCTTGATAGAAAGCCGCTGCTTTGTCGAATAGTTCTTTCCGGGACCGGCACTCATCCAGCGGAATATAGCGAATCGCGCCAATGACTCTCTGAGAGGCGAGACGAAACACAACCTTGCTAGGTTTGCCAGGCTCAGCACTCGTCTCGGTGGTCTTGCGCCGCTTCGTCATAGGGGAGACAGCCGGTTTCTCTTCTTCCGATGACGATTCCTCTTCGGAAGATGACTCTTCTTCTTCGGATGAATCCTCGGCTGCTTCGCTGGCCCGACTTCTCGTCGACTGTCCGGTAAACTGCCCCGTGCGACCCAGCGACCGTTTTGCGCCTCTTCCCCTGGGGGTTTCATCACGGGAGGTTGACGCAGTCCGGACACCTTCTCCCGTCGAGCTCTGAAAGTTCCGGAGATAGTCCCAGGCCTCCGATGAATACTCAATCTCCTCCATGGTGTTTCCAAACATTCGAACGGCGCATTGCTGGAGCTCTTCGCCTTCTGCTGCCCCCGTCCACGGTCTGAGATAGGTGCCAAAAGCAGTACTCCGGGGTGGATCGCAGTAGACGAATCTCGCGGTACCACCGGCCTCATGTAGCACGAGGACATCGTACTTGCGCGGCTTGATGACGGTGTACCAGGATAGCGCTAGCTCGTTTCCCTCCCGGTCAAAGACCCTCCAGAACTGCGCGGTCTGTCGGCCCCCGGTCCTACACTTCGGTATCTCGTTGCCATTCTCCCGGTGCCACTGTTCCAGGGTTGCCATCAGATAACTCGGTAGCGGTTTGTCCGGGTCCGAGGTCGATTTCGGGATGACCTGGACCATGTGGCCTTGTGTTTCCTGTTCCTGTTTCTCGTTGTCATCTTGGTCGCCTGCTTGAGAACCGTTGGAAGAGACGGGTGGCTTCTGTTCGTCATCGGATTCAGTGGGCAGGATGCGCCGAGAGCTCCGTCTAGGTCTGGGAGTAACGCGACAGTTATTAGCCATCATGGATTCTAAAGCAGAAGACTCGGCCTGCCTTTCCGACAAGAATGTGACGGGCACATCTGAAGTTGGACGCGACATGACTCCTGAGAGTTAGCAATCGCAAGGTTGGACTTGTAGATGTCAATCCAAGACTTACTTTCTGTGCCGTACACAACAACGCCTTGCGACTGTCCAATGGCTCAAAGTATTGTTGGAAGCTTAAACGCGCTCACTCTGGCGTCCAGACCACTCGCAGCCAGCTCAGCTCAGAGTATAACGGTCTTGACCCCGCCAATGGTCGATCGTGGATACTTGTCACACAATCCTGTCTCCAAACAGAACAGCACGAGCCCAGTATGACTAGTGAAGCACGTTCCCGCCGCGTATGCCTGATTTCAAACTCAATAGGCCCGAGAAAGTAAATCCTCACAGACCAAGACAAAACCCACAGCGACAGCACCCACCCGCGGAAGGCGCAAATCTAGGCTCGGCTCACTCAATTCTGTGCAACTCGATCAAGCGGGGATCAAAGAAACCAGTTCCGTTCGACACAAAAGGTTCCTGAAGAATGGCGATGCACACCTCCACAGTTTAAGTCGTACGTTACCTCCCCGTATGAATGGATGTCTTGTGACAGGACCCGGCAAACGCAGATACTCCATCTCACTGCTCCGGGATTTAAGGGAATGGTGCGTTCAATTTTAGATGGATTTAGGGATGGTCCTTTGCTGAACTACCAATTAGCCTGTTCGTTCCGGTATACTGGGCGAGTTATGCGTTCACTGGGTGGGAGTTTGTAGTGAACGGTGTATACCCCTCACTGATATGCCATCACCATCTGTATTCCACGGGAAGAACGAAAAAGCAAGGAAAATAGGGAAGGGAAGAAAAGGAGGGATAGGATGTTCACTTCCCCCGCCCAGCTTGCAGTGGCTATCCATGTCAAACTTACCGACCCTTCTAGCCCAGATAGATACATAGGAGCTGTAGTGGCTGCATCTATCCGACCCCAATACGAACGAGGGATGTTGTTTGTCTGTGGGCAACGAGCAATCAACCAACACCCGGTAAACCGGTTTCTTTCCCCGAAGAAATACCTACCCTGCGTGGCGCATGGCTTATGGCTCTGATGCCCAATAAACTATCAGTGAGTGGTGTCTCAGTCGGTGGCATATTCTTAGGTCGTAAGGTTTGATTTCATATGACGGCACATTACATCCCACGTACAGGCGGTATATATGTCTCATTGCAGAGACTTGGCTTGCCTGGGTGGCTTGATTACCTACTTTGGGGTTACCGCTACATACCTAACTGGGTTATGATTGATTGAAGGGTCGTGTGGCGGTTGTCTTGTAGTGTATGTTCAATGGGAGTTGCGTACGGGATGTGTATGAGATTATGGGTTCGTTCAGTTGTTGGAATTCTCGTGGATGGCTTGAAGATATATCTAGCGAGCTGGGGATAAAGCTACGCGGGTGCGAGAGTGCTTGTTCGGTGGGAATACGCATTTGATATGGCAGAATTGAGTTCTGACACTGTAGTACTCCTCATCTATTTACTGGTATCTCTGAATATTAATGGAAGGAGGCGTTGCAAGGATTTGATTGGTTGGATAGGATCGTAGATGGTATTCAAGTCCTAAGCAGTATCTATCTTGCAGATAGGATTTCTCGAAACATACTTGTGCTAGTATTAGGTAGGACGCCATATGGTAATCTAGTCACCGGCTTTATTCTATATAGTATTATGCGCTGCTCTATGCAAACGAAGGATGCCAGTTAAGAAAACATGTGTAATCCCTGGCTGTAGTCTTCACAAAGCCCGAAAAGCGAGTGGTCTGAGATAAGTAAACACTATACACTCGGAATGCCGACATCGAGCAGTTCGAGTATTATACTAGCACAAGGATGCCGGTCTAACAAGCACAATATCAACACAATCAACGGGTATCAAACGCTCAAAATGATGGAACTGGACACGTCCAGTGATGTTGATGAAGCATGCTGTCATGGTCTTCGTCACGATTGGTCTTGAGATTCAACTTTCTGCTGCGCTTCGGCGACCATCTTGGCCACCTGCGGCATGGTCGTCTCGTCGATGCTGTTCCTGCGTCCCCAGTTGGCTGGCTGTCTGCGGAGGAACACTCCCACGGCGCCAATGTAGCCCTCGTGGCGCAGGAAGTAAGCTTGTTTCTCGCCCTTGGACCAGAACTTGATGGCGTAGGACAGGGTGTTCATGGTCTGTCGGTGGCCCCGGATGAATGAGCCGCCGAAGTAGATGTGTTTCACCTGATGTTTTTCGGACTGCAGATACGCAATCTGGCCGATGTTATTGCTGTGGAATGTTAGCTAGCAGGTAGTGTGTGATGGCATGGAATGACGTACCTGATGGCATAAAGTAGGCTCCTGCTCATGTCTTCGAACTGGAATGTCGGCTCCCCATTCCTTTGGCCGGCTTCGCCTTGGAAAGTATCTTCTCCGTCCACCTTCGACTCGACGTCGTTCTTCATACGAAACACCTTGCCAAAGGTACTAGCAATGGCAGTGTGTTTGAGCCCAATCTTGGTGTAGTCCATGCCGTAAATGTCCCCGACGAGCATGTCCACCCCACTGTTATCCCCCCGGTCCGCCATTGCCAACATGTCGTCGAACGTGCGGGCCCCAGTCAATAATGACATCAGACCCCAGAATGTACCGCCACCGAGGTGAGTACCACCCACACGTTGGAACTGCTTCGGACCCGACACTTTGATCATCGACACACCGGAACCAATGTTGACTAATAGATACGGGTAGACATCCGGTCGGGCCTCGGCAAACTGCATCGGCTCCAGTTCACTGTAGGTAAAAACCTCGTTAGGGATCTCGGTGATGAAGAAGTCAAGGCCTATGGAAGATGGTCAGATCCGAATTCGGCTGTCTCTAACGGGAGGCGGCACCATACCCGTAATAAGGCATTCCATCTCATCTTCCCGGATGATGTTCACATTGAGGGCCGCCTTGAGCTTGTCGTAGTATTTGTATGCACCTCCGCCCGTAGCCATAACACATAAAGCATCTCCGGAAGGTCCGCCGAGCTTCTCATGTTCTTCCTTCAGTTGCTTGATGAAGTCAATGCACAGATCAATGCGGGAGGTTTCGAAATTGATGAAGTTGAGTCGGCCACCATTGTCGACAGAGTCCAGCTCGCGTGTAAAGTAGACTAGTTTCGCCAACGATCCGCCAATCTAGTGTTGACAGCGAGTCAGTAGTTGGACAGCGAGTCGGTAGCGTGAATCGCGATGTTGGACCGAACGGTGCAATTGCGGGGAGCTTCAAATTTGTGCGGGGAACCGCGGAAGGGAAAAAAGAATCACTCACATCGACAGCCACATGGCTCACCAGGCCAGTGTGATGGGGTAGACGGATATCATGACCCTCATAATGGACCCCATCCGTTCTTACTGGACTCTTGGATCGGGGGTCATCATCAACAATGAACGCGCCCTTGACGTTGATCTTGACAGCTCCTGGATTGGTGATCGCTTGCTCTAGGCGACCGCCCCGGGCGGAATTGGGGGTTGAGGAGGACATATCGTGTCAATGGCATAAAAATACAGATATGAAGGGAGAGGGAGCCAAGGGATAGATAAACAGTAGGAAGTAGACGGCGTGCGGCGGACGAGGTTGCCATCTCGGAGCAATGGGATCCCGTGATGGCCCCTACGGCGTATATCTCCTTCTGCCCGCTTTTGTTGAGGCGGGTGGAACCAGATTATTCCTCTGACCGGCTGGGCAACCCAAGCATTCTTAGTCACTCCTTCTGCTCCCTCCTGCGTGCTGGACGCCGAGGCCATCCATGACCCTCTAAACACGGGCAACTCTGGGCTACCGGTGAGCTGCCAGTTGCAGAACCGCTAGTCGATTGTTGTCTGCAGGGGTCGACTGTCCAGCGAACTGAGGGAGGTGGCCAATGACGTCGCTCCCCAGGTTGATACCTCAGGCATAAGTTCAGACATCCGACCCCACACGATCGACCGCCAACATCAGACATAACCCGAGAAACTGATATCTATTGAAGTCGAGATGTGGTGCTGGCAAGTGATAGAGGTTTATTTGCTATGGCTGTACTAGCCATCGGTTAGCTTGGTCAGCAGGAAGTGCCATGTATCAATCGCCTACATATGGATTCGCACAACCCACAGCGATGATTTATGGATTCATGTCGCAGTTAGTTTAGCTTCATTGGAAAGTGACAAGCCACAGCTGATGTAGTGCAGCCTAAGGGATACGAATCTCTACAGCCAAACACCGTTCAGAAGAGAACGAAGACAAATGATACAGACAAACGGATGAGATCCACGCCAGAAGCCTTGGCCCTCTTGAGCCGATGGCTCGGAAGAAGTAGCCAATCCAAATGGCGAGGGTGCTTCCAGGACCATTTGACTTTCCGTCTAGACAGATCTGAAAGCTCGTTTACTGTATGGTTGGAGTCGATGGAGTTCGTAGGCAATCCGATATCCGCCTGCTGAACACCAATCGGTTGATCTTCTAGTCACTGTCGTTTCCGTACGAAACCCATGTCTCCCGATTGATTCTGTGGAAGACCAAAAGACTCAGCTGTATTCATCAGCCATTTCATATCGAGGTTCTGATCCTAGGCAAGCTATCTGCTTCTACGAAGGCTTGATCTCTTGAACCTCATGATTGTCTCCTTCGAGCAGATTCAACCTACTGTATCTATTGCCTGCCGTGGGACTATCATCGTATCTGCAAGTGAAGCAACTAGATGCCAATAGAATTTAGGATCCTTCCTATCTCAGTTATCGAGGCTTCTCGCTTGTTCCATGCTGACAGTCTCCTATCGGGTCTGTCCCAGCTTCGCCCGCTACCTGACCCCAAAGATTTCATTTGCAGAGGTCACCTGCCGAAAGGATGTGGGTGTGAGACCCGCTCGCTCTTCTGCTTGCATCTCCCAATCTCACTCCTACTTATTCTCCCTCAGTTCGCTCCCTAGCAACCATACAGGTTACATTCACTGCTCAGTCTCCCTTACGTTTTTCACCTGGCTGGCTGTTGTGTTTTGATACTTTTCCCATTCGCGTCTCTAAGGTCCTTAAATTTGCCCCGAATACTTTTTCTCCATCTTCATCCTTCTTATTTCCCCTCACTTTTTCTATCATCTGCTTGCTTGTTCTACTTCGCCTCACTATCCTCTCACAAAATAAAAGCCAAAAGTGACGTTTTATCGTGAGTATCCTTGCATCACTAGCTGGACCATCCAACTTACCATCTACGCGTATCTAGACGACCACCATTATCGAGTCACGCGTCTTTGATCTGTCTGTGTCATCTCTTGAAAAACATGGAGAACTTTGATGTGTCGGATATGAGCAACGCGCTCAAGGAGAGCACAGGAAACGAATCCACGCTGCCTACCGAAGCTGCAAGCGCTGCTCGTGAAAAGGGGTGGACGACCCCCGAACGATACGATTACGAGAAGTACACTGCTACTGTCGCGCCACTGGGCCCTTCCCACAACAACGGCGAAGAGAGTCTTCCGGAGTGGGCTGCTCAGGCAGCAAAGTATGAGTGGCGGGATGACTACGGAGATGTCGGTCCAGAGAACCCTGCGTTGGAAGAACAGCTGTACCGTGGCGAGTACATCAACCGAACCGGGCTAAAGATTGGCAAGTGAGTTGACCACCTGAGCTACTTCAAAGTTCATGTCTAAATTCCTCAAGTCTCCAGAATATCGAGGTCATCGCCGAAAGTCGGGAGAGACCGAGTCCTGTCAAGAGCGTAAGTCGCCCATCATTTCTGTAATTCTGCCTGTGGCTGACGGTATATAGTTTGACGAGGCTGGGCTGCACCCGATTATTCGGGAGAATATTCGTTTGTGCAAATATGAGGTTCCTACCCCTATTCAAGCCTACACGATTCCCGCGGTGCTTACCGGTCACGACTTGATTGCCATTTCCCAAACCGGTAGGCCCTTCATCGTTTAGTCCACAATGTATACTAACAGAGAAAGGATCGGGAAAAACTGCCGCTTTTCTTATTCCCGTTCTTTCTCAACTCATGGGCAAGGCTAAAAAGCTAGCGGCGCCTCGTCCAAACGTCGCAGATGGTTACGATCGAACGATTCACGCCGTGACGGCCGAGCCTTTGGTGCTAATCGTCGCTCCTACCCGTGAGCTTTCGACCCAGATTTTTGACGAAGCACGTCGGCTTTGTTACCGATCCATGCTACGCCCGTGCGTTGTTTACGGTGGTGCGTCCGTCCGTGAGCAGCAGGAGGATTTGGAAAAGGGTTGCGATATTCTCATTGCCACACCTGGCAGATTGCTGGATTTCATGAACAAGGCTAAGCTCCTCTCGCTTCGGCGTGTGAAGTAGGTCTCCAAGCCCAGTATACTTCACCACTAACTGTCTCAGGTATACCATCATTGATGAAGCAGATGAGCTACTGCTGTCGGATTGGGAGCCGGATTTTCGGAGAATCATGTCTGGCGGAGGTATGTTCCTTGAGCTCCGAGCGTCTACGTACTGACCATCAAAGACGTCAACGAGGACGCGGATCACCGTTACATGATGTTTTCAGCCACGTTTGACAAGGGTTGTCGTCAGATGGCACGTCGATTCCTTGCTGCCGACCATGTGCGCGTGCGCATCGGCCGGCCTGGTAGTACTCATCTCAACGTCGACCAGAATGTAAGAGTGACTGGTATTGCTCCAAGTTCGTGCTAACAGTGGGCCCAGATCATCTATGTTGACCCGGCTATGAAGAACCAGTGCCTCTATGATCTGATCATAGCCATGCCACCTTCACGGACCCTGGTTTTCGTCAATTCAAAGTCCCAAGCTGATTTTGTGGATGATTATCTGTACAACAATAAGCTTCCAAGTACCTCGATCCATTCTGACCGAAACCAAATTGAGCGGGAGGATGCCTTGTAAGTCGCTCATCCCGACATTCGCGCACATGCTGACGCAGCTAGGCGTGCGTTTCGTACTGCCAGATGTCCCATTCTTGTCGCCACCGGTGTTTCTGCTCGGGGGCTGGATATTAAGAACGTCATGCACGTGATTAATTACGATCTCCCCCGAGCACAGCACGGTGGAATAACTGAATATGTTCATAGAATCGGTACGTCAGCTTCCAGTGCACAGAAAGGGATATTGAACTGATACCAGATAGGACGCACTGCACGCATCGGTAATGAAGGCCTTGCTACTTCGTTCTACAATCATGACCATGATTCCGAGCTTGCCCCGGACCTGGTGAAACTTCTTCTGGAAACCAACCAGAAAATCCCCGATTTTCTCGATTCTTACATCCCCGCGGATCGCGTTGTCAAATTTGAAGACGACACCGACGAGGAAAATGAGGAGAAGGACAATGATGGAGATGATGCCGACGATGCCTGGGGAGGGGCTTCGGAGTCTGAAGATGCCCCGGCGGCAGATTCTAAGTGGGAATTCTAGTGTACCCAGCTTTCTGGCCATGTCCGATTCGTAGTCCGTCGTGAATGCCGTCTATAACCAAGCTTCTGAGGGCATGCGGTTGACCGACTATGATGGGAAGGCCGGACTTGTGGGGGCGCTGACGCTTTCTCTTTTCTCTCTGTTGCGGTTCTACCATGCTACGATCAGACCGGTTCTGTGATGCAAAAGTTTGACCCTGGGCACAAGCGTACGTTGCAGGCTGTTCCTCGCTTGGAATCCTCGGAAATCCGGCAGGGCTCGAGAATAATGTCATGGGCTATGTGAGGAATTCAACCAACTGCGGGCTATGTTGGGAGGCCGGGTGGGAGCGGGCAGGCGATGTTATTTTGTTGCTGTACGGGACACCCATAACTAACAAATGCTCAATTCAATCTTTTCTCCCATGCGATGCTGTGTGCCTTCCTCACGGGTGCACCACTGGCTCTTTCCTGTTGTAGAGGTAGCAATGCCCGCCCACCTGGATAGGACGAGGTCGACTGTTGGCGTACCTCTCACCGACCCAACGACAGTGCCCTACGTATCCATTCTTTGATCAGACCCAGGATCCATAGCCATCATGTTATCCTCCCGGCGGTTCAGCCTCCTCGTTATACTTATCACCCTCGTCACCGCCGCTGCCCCGAATCCCCTCCCCAACAACACCAGCCCCCCTTACAACCTCAGCACCCCCCTCATCATTGATACCTTTACCAACCCCCAGCACAATGCCCTGGGCTTCTGGCACGGCGGCCTAGAGGGTCTCACCATGGAGTATGGCCACAACTACGTCCACCTGTACCCCAAAGACCCCGACCACAACTACAACACCCAGCTCTCGCCCGCCACTTGCTTCAACCTGCTCCCCTACCGAACCACTCACTACTTGCATGTCCACTTCAATGGCAGTACCAAATTCAGCGTCTCGCTCTCGCAAAACAACGTCCATTGTGACTCCTTCCGCAGTCCCTTCCCGGAAACGTGGGACTCGGTCGAAGCCTCCCGCTATGCGCGCGGCAACGACATTTACATCCCCCTCTGGCACTTTTACGTGGACCACTCTCGGGCTGTCTCGGTGTCGTTCAATGGGTTCTATTCGTCGGAGCCGGTGACGCTGCACCGGGTTGAGATCGTCAGTGCCAGCAGTGTACCCCGGGGGTTTCCGGTTCCCCCCCGCGTGGACAATGGGCGGGTGCTGTTGAGATGCTCTCGGCCTGGGGCATTTGCGTTTGGGATCGACGATGGACAGCCACGATTTGCACAGGATGTGATGCAGATTCTGGAGGAGGAGCAGGTTCTGGTGACGTTCTTTGTGGTCGGGATGGGATTGAGGGACTTGGAGACCAACTTCTCCAACGTGTACGGAGAGATGCTGAGGAGGGGGCACCAGGTGGCGCTCCACTCGGATACGCATCGCAAGTGAGTGAATCTATCATGGATGGCAATGGTGGTAATACTGATGGCCATGATACCAGGCTAGAAGGGTTGGAGTCCGTTGAGGCCATTGACCAGGAGATTGTGGAGAATATCAAGTCTTTCCGACAAATTCTAGGCATTGAGAGTGGGTCTTCGGGTCGGACTGTAGGCTGGGCTGACTGGTGACAGCTCGTTACTTCCGTCCTCCGTACGGCACCCTCGGGGCGAGGACGCGTCAACGACTGGCCAACTACATCAAAGACCCCCAGATCATCAACTGGAGCGTGGACATTGAAGACTGGCTGTGGGCGGATTCAAAAACGCCCGAGAAGCAGCGCGAGGCCTTTGTTCGCGACGTGACACGGGGGGGCAATCTGGCAGTGATGCATTTCCTCAGTCCGACGACGGTTCATTTATTCCGGGAGGTGATCCGATTTGTGAAGAGCATGAATGCGACGATTATGCGGATTGACCAATGCCTGGAGGATCCCCAAAGTCCCCCTCTGAAGCTTCCCCAGTCTTGACTGATGCACGATGTTTCTCCTGGTTCCTGTCCTAGACTGTTCGCTCGGGTGTAGTCAATCAATGCACTTACATTGTTATCAAGCTTAGTAGTGGCAGGTTCATCCTTTCTTCATGGCTTCTCAGTTTGGTTTCGAAGTATATTGATTGGCCAAGTAGTTCAGGGGGCGAACAGGGCTACAAGCTATCCGTAATCAATCGCCTTTGCGTATTTTTGGCCCTTTGTTCGTTCATCTGTTCTTGTTCTTAATCTACTGCTTCTGGCTGGTTCTATTTTCAACCTTATGTGCGCTGACTCTTTGTTGTCCTGGCCACGGGCCAATAAAGCAACACCCCATTTCTTTGGCAAAGCACCCTTGATCATTTCACACACTGGTTACTCTAAACATGATGTGCAAGCCAGATTAGGAGCCACTGAAGGACGTCAAGATCTGCAGAGTATTGTAGTATGATCCTGACTCTAGAACAGCCGACTCATTCAGATGCTTTCTCATTCCCGTCATGGCTTACCGAGAATTTTAGCTGCTCCTATGGTTGTTCTGCCTCATTTCGGCTCCTCAAGCTACATGCTCTAGCAATATTGCCTAGTCGAGGGGAAGTCCTACTGGATACAAGAAGGCTAAGTAATTATCAAATAAGAAATAAACCTGAAGCATACTGACCATGGGATTGGACCGTACAGAGTGGGTTCTCACCCCTTTCCTACTCCCCGGCTGTGTCTTTGTCATATACGAGCCTCATTTTCTTTGAATCCGTGGGATACCTCGAACAAGGACCTCAGACAAAGAAAGTTGGACGTGTGAAAACACGATTCCTGGTCATAATAAAACCGATATGTCTTCACCGCAAGATGCTTTATCCTGAAGGCGAATAACCCATAGACCCTGACAATCTCTCATTAACCTTTCCAGTCATCTCATCCAGTCCTGTGGTTTCCTTCGGGCGCTCTTTGTATGGAACAATCCGGTAAGAGATGGTCTGTTGCACAAGAAGAGCGTTTGTCCGCTCCCACATTCTTTGCAGCCCTGATGTTCATATCCCCACGAAGGCTCAGACACATCAAATCCATCGTCATTTCAGTAGGAAGCTGCATCTATCGAATAGTGACCTATCACTGTCTACATCTAACCATCCACGCCTGGCCACATGGATCAGAGGGACTTAGCCCAGCAAGGCCCCCGACGCAGTGCACGCATCCGTGAAGCCCAGGCGCTGGCTGATGAAAAAAGGCAACTTGCGAATGCGACAGAACAACCGGCAAATGTATGTGTGACCCTGGCCAGCTGAGCGTTTTCGGTGGCTGATGCTGCTTTTATAGGTAAACCCCGTAGGTGGGAAACGGAATGTGGCAGGAGTCATCGCAGCGCGAGCTCTGCCTGCGAAACCGTCCTCGAGGAAGGTCAAAACAAGGGTGTGTTTATGCCTCGCTATTAGAGCAGGGGTTGATATCATTTTAGGGTCGACCAGGTCTGAAACAGAAGCAAGCAGCACCACCGACACGAGCTCCGCCTGTGAAAGCGTCCTCGAGGAAGGTCAAACAGAAGGTGTGTTTACGCCTTTCTAAAGCTGAACCAGAGTTAATAGCATTTAGGGCCGATCACCAGGTTTAAAACGAAAGCAAGCAGCAGCAAGGCCATTGAAGCGTTTGAACGAACCTCCGAGAAATCCTGCAGGGCCAAGTTCCATTGACATCGGGAACATCAACGAAGAGGTGGGTAGACATCTAACCCTGGAAACAGAGCTGATCATTATAGCTGCTGCATCAATTGCTACAAACCCGCAAAGGGCCGTCGGTTTATCATTGGATCCGAAACGAGAAGTGGCCGCATGAAGATCTCGAATTGGACCTCATGAATGGAGCCGATGCACTTGATGAGGAAGGTCAGGTCGATCTACTGACCCAGGCCTCCATGGCCTCCATTCCTTATGCTTTGGACCAATGCATCACTTACCTTGAAAGCAGGGACAGCTTTTTGTATACCCACGATTGTGGGATTGCCGATAAAGAGGACGAGATCTGCCAGAAATTGTTGGAACAAAACTTTGACAAGCCAACAGGCAGGGCACGTGACCTCGATGCTCTCCGATATCTCAAAGACAGAGGACGGTCTAAAAACAAAACCGGAATCATTCGAATGATCGGTCAATTGCTTGTCCCCTCGGCCGAGATTGAGATATTCCGTGGCAAACTCCAGACGGTCAAGTTAACGGAGACCATTAACGAGGCTTGGAACTATTCCCGTTTCCCTTAACCACGGCTTAAGACCAGGTCCAGCGGACCTAGATCCGTCAACTCGACCATTGTGGGATCACCTCCCAGCACCCCAGCCCCATTATGCTGCTGGATTTTCCCCATATGCCTTCACCTCCGAGCAGCATGATGCGCTAATCCCCTTCCTTGGCGGGTTCGAACAGACTTCAATCTGGAAGGGCACCGAAAACATGCTCTTTCCCTTCCTCACGGCCGAAGCCAAGTCTGGTCAAGCATCTCTTGAAATCGCGGACCGCCAAAACGCGCACAGCATGACACGGGCTCTCCGGGGCGTGGTTGAGCTGTTCAAACTTGCCCAGTGTGAGGATGAGTTGCACCGAAAGATCTTAGGCTTTTCCATTTCGCATGATGATCACGAGGTGCGGATATATGCCCATTATCCGGTCATTGAAAAGGGCCGCGTGCGATTTCATCGGCACCAGGTGACGGTGCTTATCTTTACTCGACCGAGCGAAGCGGATCGATGGGGGTCATACCATCTTGTCCTGGCTGTCTATCATCGCTGGGCTCCGGAGCATTTCAAATTTCTGTGTTCTGCCCATTGATAGACTTCCGGATCTCAATCAGTTCTTCGCAGATGACCACGCATCGATCGAGACGACGACACAGCAAACGGAGTCTGAGGAAGATTCTGTGCCTTTGTCTGATACCCCAGTTCCAGTCGGGGGGGATCCGCGTAAGAGACGGTAGGAAAGTAGTCGAATTTCTTTCTGTCTTCTTGTTCCTTTCTTTCTTTTCCTTTTGGACAGGCGGTCAGGTGAGATCCCAGTTATTCCTCTTTCATTTTCTCTGGGTTCCATTTGTTTCGTTTCAATTTTATTTCTCCTTGAGATTCTCGTTTAATAGATCCGATTCAAATTCATGATGATGACTTCACACACAACATCCCACCCTACCCAGCCCCCAATTACCATCTCCATCCTCACTAGATACCCGCCCAAAATCACTACCCTCAAACCGCACTCCCCCTAACCCTTAATCCTCCCATTATACTCACATCAAACTCAGCTCTCTCCAAACCCCCGCCCCCCAAAAAAGAAGAAACAAGAAAAACAATAAGACGCAATCAAATCCCCCCCTCACCACCACCACCCCCACCATCCTGAAAAACCCAAAAGCCACCAAACTCCCAATACGCATCCCGCAACGTCTGCACATTCTCTCGGACATACTCCTCACATGTCCCGGGACAACCATCCTGATCGGTGTAAGTGCTAGACTGTCCGGCATTCTGTCCACAGAGGTCAATGTTGGCGATGATTTGGAGGTTGTTGAAGTGGTTGCGGATGGGGCAGGTGGTGCTGGGGAAGTGCGCGAGGGGAGGGCCCCATGTTGGGGGTTGAGGAGCGGTGGGGGGGTTCGAGGTGGTGTTTCTTTTCTTGTGGTTGTTTTTGTTATTGGGGGGTTTGGAGTTGGTAATGGCATTGGTGATATCAGCTGGGATCTCTCCCCGTGGAAAGAACCAGACTTTGATTCCGGAGGGGTGGATTTCCAGCGTGTAGACCTTCTCTAGTGATTAGCTTCCTACCAAATACTATGTGTCATGTACCATGCCATGCATAAGAAAAGAAGGCATGGAAGGAAATATACTCACCCCCCCACCATTCCCATTAAACACACTCCCATATGTCTCCACGCCCCCTCTCACTCCACACCCCATGACATTCGCCTTGCCATCACCCACATCACAGATCCCGCTCTCATGGCCTGTTACGATCCCCGTTTGCACTCGCCCCATACCCTTCCCCGTTCCTTGATTTCCATCTACCTTCTTCCTCCCTTTCCCCTTCCCCTCCCCCCCATCTAAAGAATCCCCCCCAGCAACACCCATCCTACACCCATATCCAGTATGCAAACTAACCACATTCCCGCCCCCACCCCGATTCGTCGCCTCCAGCACATCAATCTCCCCATTATTCGGCCAGTTCTCGGACGTGTCACTCAGCCACAACGCCGGCCAGAGACCGCATCCGTGGGGCGTATGCCGGATGTCGAAGATGAAGAGGCCGGTGGTGTACCGGGGAAGAGATTCGATGCGGATGGATTTGATTTTTGCTGCTGTACTATTCAAGGTGGGGGAGGTATCGATGCGGAGGATTATAGAGGTTGATGTGGCGTGGGTGAGGTTGAGGTGGGAGGTGGTGGGGAGGGTGGGGTTTATGTATCTATCATTCATTAGTTATTCACATCATTAGTTGATGAGTTCAAGGAGAAGAGATGAAAAGGGTAGGAAAGGGAGGGGACATACTCAACAACACCCCCCGTGGGATCCTCCTCGGTGAAATAATTGAACTTATCGAAGAAGCTCGCTCCCGTGTATGTATCTACCAATGTATACCTCTCGTTGCCACTAGGAACAGGAACAGGAACAGGGATAGGGATAGGGATAGGGATAGGGATAGGATTTGGAATGCCCCGCTCCACATGATCCGCATTGACTTTATTGATGATCAAAGGACCGATGGATTGGTAAAGGAGGTATGCGAGGATTAACGCGAGCACGAACCATGCGGACCAGAGGCTAGGAATGTAGAAGTTGCGGATCCTCATACGAAGAGTAGTAGGAGGAGGAGGTGGAGGAGTGGGAGACCTCTGGGTGGGTTCGAGGTGGACGGGTTCGCTGGTTTGTAGGTGTTGGTCGTTGCCCCAGGTGGGGATGGGGTGGTAGTGGGGGGGTTGGTAGGCTGTGGTGGGTTTGGGGAGGTCGGACATGATTCTTTTGTGTTGGGGTAGTGGATAATAGGTTAATATAAATGGGGGTAAAGAGTGAAACAGAGATTGAAGAGTTATTAGATATGGATTACATCTACAAATAATCCAGTTGTGTGGATAGGGCTCGTCTGGCAGCACTACTTCATTCCACCTCATGGAGGGACTTGGTTTCGGTGATGGGCATACCACGTCAAGAGATCGCAATGTAGATGTCATTTCGATGGAGGGGGGGAAGAAATTTGCACCCTGACTCGGAAATATCAACACGCTACACTTCTCGGGGTCGCAGCTGGAAGTCCAATGCTAACAACAACAGACGGACTCAAATGTTGATAGTCCTAGGTTTACAACAATCTTTATCTCAAACACATATATGATGGACTCTCTTGATCTTCTAGATTCTTTTGTGGGGAAAAATCAGTAAATGGCAGTCTGGTCTGCTTCTCAGGAAGATAATCAAGGTCTATCGAGCTGATGGAGTATGAAGTGCTTCATCTATCCCTATGATGGATGCATAAAGAGAATTTATCGAGGGAGCTGGGTAGAATATAGCAGAAGTGGTGGGTTTGGTTGGTTTCGCTTTGGTATATCGGATAGTGAGTAGTACCTATAGTTTTTGATAATGTGTATGTATTTATCTATGCAGTGGTTCGTAAATAAGAAGATAAGCCGGGAGTGTTGAAGGTGAATTGCTACATTAGTCCGTCGAACCTAAACGAGAATAGTATATCAGGATAGGAAGGGGATAGTGAGGAGAAAAACTGGCACCAAGATGATTCTGTATTTGACTAGGAACTGAGCATGGGATAAGTTATCTGGTATGTTGATGCATTTGCGGTGTCCAAGTTAGAGGAAGGGCGGTTCATCATGGATCCTAGACCTGAGGTATCGTAGGATGGCATGGATGAGGCACCTGTGGATTGAAAATATTTATTTATCGTGTTAAGGGTTGTTGCAGGCTATATAGGGATCGTAAATTCTACTTAATCTGAATATTAGTAAAACTCACGATATGTCGTTTACTCCATACTCCGTACTAAAGGACTATATGCTTGGGAACTTGTATAACCGACGCCAGAGAATGCTAAGCCACCAACGCCTGCACGCGATGCAATGCTAGCTGAATGCAGAATCTATAATACTCCCACATTTTAATATAATTCGCCCGCGAATCATAGTCCAAAGTCCGGTCGAGAACACCGCGGCGCGTGGTCCATCATGTGCTCGATCGTGCTCAGAATCCACCCCGATCGAGCCGTCGGTCGCCGGATCCCCAGTCGGGGTGTCTCACCGGTGAAGCAGATGCCGTCCCGCATGACAAACTGCGCGCAGTCGCGCGAGCTGGAGCAGAGGGTCTGACATTCATGGAAAGTGGTGATGGTTGGATGTTCCTGGTCCGACAAGTTATCCCAGTCATCGCGGACGTTGGAAAGCTCAGGAAAGATGAGTTCCTTGAAGACGTCGCGGTGGAGAAGGATGGAGCTATCAGTCTGAAATCAATTAAGTTAGCTAGTGTTGACAAATTAAAGCAGAACGATGCTCACCTCGAGACGTCTCCGTTTCTCAAACTCATACAGATACTGGATCTCCCCAGGCGCCAGGTGATGGAACGCTACCGCCGGGAAACACCACGGTTTCCGGTAGAAGCCCTTGGCAAACTCGTCCAGTTCTCCCACATTCGAATTCTGCAGAATCGGCCATGAATAATGCAATGGAACCCCTGCGTCACCCAGAACCTTGCCCAAGACACAGTCACCAGCCCAGTGCCAGTCGGTGTATTCGTTCAACTCCACGGTGCGGCTCGCGTACTCATTCGAGGCCAGCTGCATCGCCGGATTCGAAACAATAAAGCCGGAACCGCCATGCGCGAAAATGACGTCCGCAATTTGGGTTTCAGTGCCAATGTAGTGGGGCTCTTGGGGATCGAAGTGCGACAGCCATTGGAGAAGGGTCGGCCACGAAATGTACGTATCAGCTTCCATGAAGACATACCATTTGGCATTGTCTTTATGTGCTAACGCCTGTTGGACCATCGGAAGAAACTTCCATTTGTCCAATTTCCACCCCGGATTGTTGGGTTTGCCAATGTTCGAGTTCGCTTCATCGGCAAAGTCGGCCGACTCCAGCCCCGCACGACCTTGCTCGCGGAGCCGGTTGTAGAGATTGAAGTCAGCGACCGTACTTTTGACCGTGTTGTCCATTGTGAGAAACGCGTCGTGCACTTTGACGCCTTCGATTTCTTCCTCAAAGTCGGAAAAGATAATATAGTTGGGAATGCAGCGGAGGGTGGTCTGAAAGTGTACCGGGACTTTGCTGAGGGATTCGGTGACACCGGTTTTCATCACCACCAGCACATCTTCCATCCCCTCGAGCGGGGGACATTCGGGTATCTCTTTCGGGGCGGCATTCGGGGTGTTGCTGGGGGCGCGAGGCTGGGAGAGGCCATTGCGAGTATAGAGCTCCGGCCGGATCGAGAGGAAGTGGTAGAGAAGGAAGATGCCGAGGAGGGAGGTGAGGATGGTGATGCGACGAAAGCGACGGACGGCCATTATGGCGTAGCGCTGAGGGAGGGTTCGATTTGAGCGGTGGCCGACCTGCAGCGGAGCGAGAAACGTAAACTAAAGAACTGAAACAATTATCGGCCAATCCTCCAGCTTGGTGCAAGATGTTTTTGCATTTCCGAGACGCGCCACCAATAGTGCAATTGTTCTGGTTGCTGAGATTCCTGGGGACAGCAGGAACGGAGGCTGAGACAATGTCCCTTGCGGTGGAGGAGGAGCAGAGGAGAGGAGAGGAGAAAGGAGAAAGGAGAACAGGAACAGGAGAAGGAGAGAACAAATGCCCGAGATCGACAGCACACGTTATGAGGATCGATGACTCTTATTCGGTCGCCGGCGTGGGGATGGCGACGTAGGAAGGCACGTAGGCGGCGAGGATCGGCCCACGCAGCGGGCGATCTGAAGGGCTCCGGTTTGTCGATGACGCGTTGGCTCTGGAGAATGGAGCTCGTTCCATCGCTAGTCGGGGTCCGTTCCGAGGAGCACCACCTGAAACCGCCCCTGATCCCGTCAGCGGTGAGCTGTCAGAATTTATTCTTCTGATTCAACATACTACTCTAGATGAAGTAGTTGCACAGTAGCTGTACAGTAGTTGTACTCTCCGATGGTATCGTACGTTGCCATCATACGGCTGCTGTTCTCATAAAAGATCCCATCGATGGAAGGAATGTGCACTTTTGGCCCCTGGATGGGTCAATCTGACAGCAGCACTAGGTCCTGGTCAAGGCACAATTAATCCACCTGTACGTGTATACTGTCTGTAACATTGTATACTGCATAGTACTAGACCCTTTAATCTATCTGAAAACTCAGCATTGCATTCGTCATCAGAACCGCCTGAAACCCAGCACTAGTCTCACTTTTGGTCCGCCAACCACGTCTACGACTCGGCCTGGTGTTTCGCAATCTTGCGCGAATGCAACTGGACCAATTCCGGGATGATCAGACTCTCAATCTCCACCCCCTCCGCCGCGAGGCTCTCGTCCTTGGGTTCGCCCCCACTGGGTTCCTGGGCGGACTCGCCCGCCCGCTTGGCCTCCGCCAGGCCAACCTGCGCCTCACTGCCCGAAATGCTCTTGCTGCGCCGCGACTTTGGCACCCGGATCCAACGCTCGTGCGGGGGGTCCGGAGTCACAAACACCACCTCCCATTTGCGCGTGGTCAGCAGGTTCCCAATCACCAGGTGGTGCGCGTACCGCTGCAGGGCCGTCTGCGCCTTGTACACTAGCAGGTTGGGGTCCGTTTCAAGTTTAAACGACACAATCATACTGCCATCCGGCGCCCACCCGTTGACTAATCGATGCAGAAATTTGGGCACCGGGTCCAGATCAATGATCAGTTTCTTACTACGCGACGCCGGTTGCGGCTCAATCCCGCCCGTGTAGATGTCCGACGTGTCGGTCGCTTGGTCCCGCGTCAAATGCTCTGGCAGCTCTGATGACTGAATCTTGTGCTCCGACATCCGATCGTTGGGGATGAAGAAATCGCTGACGGCCGCCGCCAAATAGAACAGCGCATTGGGCCCCAGGGGCTTCATCAGCTGGGCCAGCGACCGCAATTCAAAGAGATACTCGGAGATGGTGGTAAACGGAAGGAGCAACAGGAGGTTGTTGCGCTTCGCATACCGGTACTTTCGCAACACATCCCGCATCTGATCCTGGTACTCACTGCGCACCACGATCGGCCGGTGATCCGATCCATCTGCCGTCGGCCCGGTTTCCTCCTCGTCCATGAAATCCAAGAAGCAATTGGTCGAGTGACTGTAGTGCCGCGAATACGGCAGCAGACTAAACTGCCGATGCAGGAAAATCACCGCGTACCCCTCCTGAAGAAAGTATTCTGCCGACACGGCACCCCGCGTGCCCGCGCTGAAGTTGTCAATGAAGCGAACGGTCTGGTTTTCTGCACATCGTCAGAAGTATTCTCGGGCGCATGATCCATCCCACCAACCCAGAGGAACTGTGGTGCCTCCTGATGTCACCAGAACCAGGCGCCGGTTCGCTTGGACATGGTAGTCGACAAAAGCCCGCACGAGGGCTTCATGCTTGGGAAGGGACTTGGGTGGGGGGTAGTTGTTGAAGTAGACCGACTCGGCCTCGGCGGGGGTCATTTCTGGCGTCGGAGCGGAGGTCATCTTGAGCGAAGGCTGCAACCGTCTATCAATGCGATCGGACTCTATGGTTCGGAAGGAGGGTATTGGTGAGGTCAACGACGGAGGACTGGAACGACAATTGCTTGTAGGATCTTTCGACAACGGAAGCAGACGATCGAGGAGAATGCGAGCGAACTCAGGAGAAGCAGCGTTTGCTATATTCTGACATGTGCCGGGTAGTTCGGAGCACGGTGGGATGCGTCGCAGTAATCCTACTGCAATTGCGCTTGTCAGCTGAGAATCTCGTTCCCAACGGATTAACCACCGATGATCGGAGGATCCGGCGCAATCGAGGAAGATTTGGTCCTGCAAGGAGATATCTCAGACCTGGTGATGGGAACGGCGCGATGGTTGTCGCGGGTCCCTTTTCACCGGGAGGGGCTCTTCACCGCCTTGGGATATGACGCACTGCTCCGGTCCTCGGTTTTTCCTTTTTGGGTCTAAACTGGCTATAGCGGCCATCGGGTATTTCTATCATGAGGATAACACTTCCATATGATTGCCATACTATTACGATGATGACACGACTAGCCAACAAGGTTAATCAAAAACAACCAAATGATCAAAACTTCAAGATCTGCAGAGCAGCAGTCAACTCGTCCACCTTTTGCATCAAGCTCACCCGTCGCGCCTTGGCCACTGGCGATTCCCCCGCTATGGCTTCTAGTTGGTCGCCAGTCAAGTTGATGACCCAGTCCTGGCTGAAAGCTTCCAGTGGGCTCTCCGGTCCAGTCAAGAGACAGTGCTCGACGGCCTGCATGTAGACGCTATCTACAAACCTCTTGCAGGCCACCTTGTAATATGACCAAAGGATGTCATGGATTTCCTCCTTCACATACTCGACATTTCCCTGGTTGATGGCGGCTTCCTTGACAGCTTCCAGATCGACCACCTTGTTGCCAGAGGATGCCCAGTAGCCGTTCCGGTCCTTTCTCATCTCACCTCGGGCATTTCCCTCCAGCATCTTGGCCACCCGAGCCCCACGCATCTTCTGGAGGGTGTCGCTGAAGTAATCGTTGAGGGTATAAGGTCGGCGGTTTCGCTCAACGGACAGAAGGAATAATGCCTGTGTCATGGCCACGTTATACCGTTCGAGGAGCTCGTCAAGGATGCTGGACCGCACTCTGTCATAAAGTTGTCGGTTGGCGCAGACTTTACCCAATGCCGAGCAAAGGAACCGGTGAACCACCATGATTATGTTCGAGACATACTCCCGCGTCATGAGCTCCCACTTCATGGTCTGCTCCTTGAAAGCGCTGGACAGAATAGTACCACCAAAAGTTCCCAAGTCGAGCCCACGGGAGTTGAGGTACAGGTCTTCAATCCAAGCTTTGATACCTTCTGCGGGATCTTTAGTATCTGTGCCGCGGCTGATGATCTGCTCCAGCTCCGGGAAGTTGCTGGGATCAAGGCTTTCAAAAGTCTCGGCTTGCTTGGCACTCAGACGAGCCCAGACTTTGGTTTGCTTGGGAGCATCGGTGGGCTCATCACGTTCACTTTTCTGGCCCTCGTCTGTTTCCAAGGCAGGGCGCTCAAAACCACGCAGGTGGGCCTTCTCTTGGAAGACCGAGTTGAATAGGTCGGAAAGATTGACAATGTGCGTCAACAGCCTGAATTCCGTCTGTTCGAATGCTGCATCCTCTGAATAATGAGCATCACGTGCAGCCCGGGAGAGGGTTTGGAAACGACGTGCGATTCCGCTCAGAAACGCACGCTGTTCCTGTTCGGTTTGACGCGCAGGCCCCAGGCGTTCCAGATCTTGCTGGCACGACTCAATCTGAGCTTTGAGGTCTTTACGCAGCTCTGGGAACTCCCGTTCCGTGATTTGACCCAGGAGCTCGCCGAGTCGTCGCCGGAGGGCTTGGACGCCGATTTTGTCCTTTGGCAAGGTACTCCAAGGGGAGCTATCAAACATTCTCTCTCCTGCCCCATGATCGAGCGCATCATTTTCATCTGCGCCACGATTTCTCACCAGATGATATCCGAGGGTGAGCGGTCTTTTGTGGCCCAACACCAGCGAGCACAAAGTTGCCTTGGCACTCTGCTCGGTTACCAAATCAGGTTTCGTCAGGACCCCAAGAGTACGCTCCCCATTGACATCGTAGTCTTTGGCGAGCTTCAGAATCTCCTGGGTGGCGATATCCACATTGCTAGGGAGGACGGCCAAGATCACAGTGCGAGAATCTCTGATATAGTTCTTGACCATGTCTCGAACGAGCTCGATATCGCTGTCAGTCGTGATGCCATCCGTAGGGTCCCGAAAGATGCCCGGCACATCGATGACCGTGAGATAGTCTTCCGTGGGTCCGCACAACTCGATGCGTAACACATCTTTACTAAAGACTGACCCATCCTTGGAAGAAAGATCCGAGCGGATTTCCATATACTCGTTGACCTATCATCGTCAGCGGTGCTACAGGCAGACTTCAATTGGATGAAACGAACCTCTTTGAGAACATTTGGAAATTCCGAACGAAAATCCTCGGTGCCGTTGAGTGTCTTTTTAAAAGACTGAATCTTGGCCTTGTGTACAAGAGAGGCATCCGGAGCAGGAATAATGCAAATCTCAACGAACGACTCAGTCTCGCGACGGGAGGTAATCTGTGTAGCATATCTAGTACAGAGCTCCAGATCACGGGGGAAAGGGATCTTAGTGAGACTTTCGAGGAGAGAGGACTTTCCCGAGCTCTGGTCTCCAACAACTACTAGCTATGTGACGTTGGTAACTGATAGATGCCTTCTCGGGTGAGAATCTACCTGAGGGAGAGGAACATGTTTTCCGACGTTTTTCTCGCGCAGTTTATCGATCTTCTTCAGTAACTCCGAGCTGTTGAGAAGATTGGCATCGGGTGCAGCTGATTTAGCGGCCATTTTGGCGGGTGCGGAAGCAAAGAGATGCAATGGACGCAAGAGGATTGAGAAGATGGGAGGCATGAACGGAGATGGATGGAGAGGATGGAAGAAGGGAAGGACACGGCTTTTGAAATAGGAGGAAAACTTTGCACGTCGTGTGAATTTAACAGATTGCTACACAAAGAACGTGGTTGAGCAGTGAAGGGAGCAGTCACGTTCAGTTGAACTTTGCATGGTGAATTGGCGGCGTTGTCGGGATCTGGATGTGATACTTGCATCCTGACGATGGAAGTTGGCGGCTTAACAATTCATCAGTCGAGGGACGGACATGTATGAGGGATACTGACAGTTTCCAATTCGTATCAAAGATGCAGGACATGAGAATGAGCAAAACATTATCGAGCGGATAGTTACTAGTAAACAATAACAAACATGTGCTGACACCTCGCCTTGGATACGGTCATCTGTATCGTTTTTGTACAACCCCACGCCATAAGCTTCCGGGAACCGGAGCAATATACGAACGATAGCTGACCATTTCACAAGTTCATCTATCAAAGTGATTATCCTCGAAGTCTATCGATAGATCTCTTATCTACCTCCATCCGGCTCAGCAACAACGAAGGCTTGTAAGAATATCACATATGCCAATCAAAGTCAAAACTCTACACACGACAATCCTCACAAACAATCCATTCTCCACCCCAAACCCAACCCAAAACTATCCCCCCACCACCTCACTCCCCACCCCGAAAATCCCTCCTCGGCCTCACGGGCATAACCGGCGTCGGGGCATCAATATGCGCCGTCCACTTGGTCGCCGTCACATCCGCAGCCGTGAACAAAGTCTTGAACCCATCACCAAGAACAAAGTTCATCGGGAATCCCGGGTCAAATGGAAGAGCATTATCGATTTCATCCATCTCTTCCTTGGAGAGATCGATTTTCAAGGCGTCAATGTTGGCTCTCAGGTGCTCGAGTTTGCGTTGTCCGATGATGGGGAAGATGTAGGGGGCTTTGAAGCGGATGTATGCGATTGCCTGGATGGATTTATTGTTAGTGAGGGGGTTCCAGAAGTAGTGCTTATTAGAGAATGAGAAGGGGTATTGGGGGGGGGGGGGGAGTACAATAGCATGCAACGACACCCCCCTCCGCTTCGCAACCTTCTCCAACGCCTTTGAAATCACCACATCCGTCTCAGTCTGCACCTTTCCCCGCGTCGAACCCGTATACTCCTGTTCCTCCTCCCCTTCCACCCCAACCCTCAACCGACCCTGCCCCAACACCGAAAACGCCGCAACCGCCAACCCCTGATCCAAACACATGGGCACAATCTCCCTCTCAAGATCGCGTTCCGCCGCGTTCCATCTTCCCTGGTACACGGAGAACGTTCTCAGTCCATTGGCCCGCGCGTACGCATTCGCCTTGACCACCACCCACGCCGGCGTGTCAGAAATACCGAGGTAGAGGACCTTTCCGGCGAGAACGAGGGCATTGAGACTATGCATGACTTCTTCCACGCTGGTGGTGAAATCCCACCAGTGGATGTAGAGGATGTCGATGTAGCTGGTTTGCAGGTTTTTGAGGCTTTGGGTTACGGAGAGGTGGAGGGATTTGGTGGAGTTGCCGACGTAGTTGGATTGGAGGGGGATGGTCGTTGTTTGGGTGCGTCGGAAGCCGGTGGTGTATTTGGTTGCGATTCTTTTGTTCTTATTATTAGTGGGATGGCCCTGGGGGTGTAGGGGAGGGGGTGGGGGGGGTGGGGGAGCGTACACCATTTGGTCTCGGTTGTTGCGTTGCTTCATCCATTCTCCGATCCATTCTTCGGATTGGCCGTCTTGATAGGCGTTGGCGCTGGGGGGGGGGTTAGTTGTTGGTGGTAGAGGTGGTGGGTGTAGACCTACGTATCGATGAAATTTCCGCCGCTTTTATAGAAGGTGTCTAGGATGGCGAAGGAAGCTTCCTTGCTGCATTCGCCCATGTAGGGTTCCCTAGGGAGGTCAGTCAATTGGTGTAAGAGTGTAGCAAGGTGATACTACCAGGCGGTTCCGAAGTTCATGGCACCGAGACATAATGGGGAGACTTTGATTCCCCCGGTGGGTGATAGCACCTGGTGGAAACCCAAAAGGGTCTTGGGCATGGGAGCGGGAGACAAGCCAGACATTCTGAGAAGCAATGGGATGGATAATTTGGGATGGATTCTGAGGGTTGAGGTCTGCTGGTGTACTGCTGCCCTTTTATATACTTCTGGGTGTTTAGTCGTCCCAAGAAGCGGGCATGTCCATTATTCTGAGCTGCATCTTGGTTGGACGCAGACTGCATGAATACGCATCCTTTGATGCCTGGCATATACGACGCTTAGCTACCGGCGGGGATATACTAGGCAGACAACTGACGTAGGCGCATTAGTTCCACTAGACATTTCATCCTTGTTGGCAGACGGTAACTCCGATCGACCCTGCCAAGCCCTACTAGTGCTGCTGTCAGACGGAACGGAATGTTTGATTGCATCCCGATGGTGTGACTTGTTGATTCAGATCCTTCGACTGTCTAGCCTGCAGCATACGACCAATCTGGCAAACCGGCTAACCGTATCGGATTTATGCACCACGTGATGTATGCCTTGTGAGGCATCCGTGTGGCAATACTCCGCATCCGCTATCGCAACGCACCTGACCTCTCGTCTCCGCCTTCACTCCCCGCCTCCACTATCTTCCAACGTCGAGTAGCAAGACACTTCGGTGCCATCAGTCTAGTGGTCTGTATGGTTTGTATGCTTTGTCTCAATCCACTCACTCTTGCATACGACAACGTGATGACGTCTCTCAATCAATCCGGGGACACCAAGTTCACCGTGTTTATTCGCCTGCCCTTCCCCAGGGGTGACTTTGTGGATCCTCCGCCGGTAAGTCCCGCTAGTCATCGACTCATCTACGAGTACTGACCAACAGGTCGAATGGAATGCTGCGAAAGACCAAGCGCTGTGGGATATTCTGTCCCGACTTCCCAAAGGAGATGATCTAGACTGTAAGTAGGAGACGCTAGCAGTGGAATTGTACTGACCGTGTGCAGGGAAGGCGCTGTACGTTCTGTGGCATCACATCGAATCATACTGACAAACTGCAGAGCAGATCGTTTCGATGTGACCCTGCAGTTCCTGCTTCAACAGGCTGCATGGCTCTATGACCGCCAGCTATCGCAGGTTCGGGCACAGATGCTCAAAGTACCCACGCAATCGAACCCTGCCTCTCCGGCTCCGGGTTCGGTGTCGGGCAGCACAGCCCAGGTCCAACAGACCAAGGGCGCTAGTAATCCAGGTAGGTTCTGCCTGCATATACCATTCAACTGCTAATGCGGTCAAGGCCCTCGAGCTCCATCCCGCCTCTCACAGCAAAAAGACACCATCCCACAACGAGGTAGTCCATATCTGTTCCACTGTCATAGCATGGTCTGACACCCATTGTTAGCTCCCATCCCGCGACGCACCAGCTCGACGACAACCGTTAACCAGGTCAAGAGTGCTCGCGAGCCATTCCGCAACGACACCCCCGCTGAGCCAAGAGAGCCCAGACGAGAAAGTTATACTCGACAGTCGGTCAAGCGAGAACAAGCTGCACCACCATCGGCCCCGAAATCTCCTACCTTGGAAGATGATATCACCTCTAGCTCATCGGGATCCGAATCGGAATCAGACGACGATAAAATCGGAAGTCGTCACGGACTGAGATTCCGGCCCCAATTCGGAGCATTCTCAACCCACCGACCCGGCTTAAGAGACGACGAGGATGACGACGACGATTCCCCTGCTTTCCTCCCGGATCTCGATCAAACCCCCCACGAGACATTCGGAGACGATCCCAGTAATACGTTGCGAATGAACCCGGACCTTCCTGGGTCATCCGGCCGTCCTCGAGGATCCGTGGCGACAGAATCGTCCGCGAGCTCTGCCAGCTCGGGCGTCCCGGTTACACACTCACACTCGCATTCTAGCAGACGACCGGGGATGAACCAAAGTGGGGGACCACTGAGTCCGCAAAGGGGTCCTTTCAGTCCACGACCGTCTTTAGCTTTGAGGCGGGATGCCAGTGAAGGGACGCCGAGTATGGGAAGCAGCTTTAGTGATTTGGATGGTAAGAATACTTATCACTTGGTGAATATCATACTGATGGTCTCAGATACAAGCGTCACACAGTCCGCGCTGGAGGAAGCTCTTATGAGCAACATGCAGCAGGGTGGCATGGCCAGTCGCATGAGCACACTTAGTCAGGCGTTCCGAAGTCGGTATCTGGGACGAGCGAACGATAGGTTCTAATAGGGGATATAGCATGAAGACAGGCTGCATTTCACAATAATTGATCTTACCATTTAGTTTCACAGTAGCAGTGTATGAGCAGTATAGATACCTGTGAAGGCTATCTCATCTTAGATCAGCTTCAGTCGTAATTAGATATAATGGGGTCTACCAGATCTGATAATATATTCCCCTCACTACGAGGAATTTCTTGCCCACAGAACTCGAATCAACACGTTCCAAATTAGTTACTACCCTATCACATAATCAAATAGATCACGTCCTCTACTCCAGACATTATACCTCACTATATATATCCACCTAACCCAGCCCATCCCATCCGACCCGAGTACCAGTGCTAATGTCACTTCATGTCATCAATAAAAACACTGAAACAAACAAACAAACCAAGCCCGTAATATACTCAAGTACGACATACCTACCTAACAACAAATATCACTGCCACTTACACTTCTGCACAGAAGTCCTCACTAGACTCATTCCGCACAAATACCTAACCCTTCGATAGCTAGCTAGCTAGCCAGATAAACAGAGATAAGAACCCCCGGCAACTAACACCCCAACTACTGCCGAAGAACTAAAATCTTACTTTTAGTTTCAACTCCCAAGTTCCAAGGCCCTAAGCCTTAGTTCTACATAGTACTGATTACTACGGAGTATACTCCGTAGATAGTATCTAGTTCGAATCCAACTGCCGTGTCGAAACTAAACCTAGAACTAGAATATACTAGAAAAATCCCGGTGGTTCCTGCAGTAGTTCCTGTCCCCGGTCAGTACCTACTCCCTAGTATTTGTTAGTCCCTGCATAGTGCATACCAAGTCTAACTATGGAGTTCTCCGTAATCAGTAGTGCGAACTAACGTTCGCTTCTTCACTTCTAAGGTCTGACTATGTAGTTAACCCTGTAATTATCTACCTAGTTACCTAGTACCTAGTTACCTAGTGACCTAGTAGACAACCATCAAGGTAACCCCTCCCCTTGCACCCCTCTACCCCTCGACCCCTCCATCCATCCACCTAGATACCCACCAACTATTGTCCCATGTCTCACCCAAAACTTACCTATCTGCCTTTCCCCCTCCCTACCCTCTATCTACCCCTCCATCTAGCGAAACTAGCCCCTCAGCGGGGTAACCACACCCAAATGATATAACCCAAAAACAAAGAAAAAAAAAATAGCATCGGGTGAAAATAACCAATCCGTCCTAGTGTATAACTATACCCAAGCTGGTGGACGGATCCACAGTCCACAGTTCGAGAATCAAGTTCTGCACATTCAGACTTTAGGTCCGATGTTTGAAAAAAAAAAAAAGGTTACCACTATGGAGGAGTCGGAGGTAATTGTCATGCGGACGCTAGACTACATTGAAACAAGCCTTGAAGGAATGATGCCAAGAGTGCTTGGGAGTGACGGCGTGACTTTGTGTGACAGTGACACGGACGAACTCGAAGTTTGGTAGGTTTGGTACGTGGGTTGGTTTGGGTTGGTGGTAGGCTTGTTGCCGACCGACCCGACCCGCTCCGTTGACACGGCTGTGCCAATTTCAGGGGCATCCAGAGTATTGACATTTACAAACGAGGGGGCATGATGGTCATCACACATGATTGATATTACTATGGTCATAACTATATACAGACATATGAAAGATATGGTGAATCGGATCAGCAGCCAGCACCGCACCTACCACTAATCCTCGTGGTCGGCCGATCGCTAAGCGCCGGCCGAATGGGTCTCCGAAGCAAGGCACCATTACGTGTTTCGCGTGGGACTGACCACGCTGGTGGAATTATTACCTAAATCCCAGGGCCGTGGCTGGATGACGGCGAGGAGGTGGAACTGATCGCCTTCGCAGTTGCTCGATAGGATCGGACAATTCGATGGTGTGGATGAGATCCCCGCGGGGCCTCTGCTGAGAGAACTATGGTTCAGACCAAGGCAGCGGGGTTGCTGCGCCGCACGCACTGAGATCGTAGATGGAGGGGCAAGGGGTTTCGTCCGTAGGGATTAACAGGGGGACTGCTTGGATTCTTCCGATCGTAGTGTTGGGTTAGCTGTGACCAGTTCCATGAATATCGGGACGTTGTGTAGTGTCGGCTGAATCAGTCCTTCTGAATCACGATTTCGGTCGTCTTTCGGATCATAAAGTCGTCCTGCCCAGTCGCCTGGGCCCAGTCGGTATTGTCACTTCCAGCAGACGCCGTCGACTTGTTCGTGAGATGTCCGGCTACCCCACCCAGTTCAATAATGTTCTCTTCGCTCTCCGTGCGCGTCAAGCCGTCCGCTCGTCCAGTCCGAGTGTCGTACATGCCGGTCACGTTCCGAGTCGATCGGGAATTCGCCCCTGATTTCCATCGCGCTTTGGAAGCGTGGTCGGTTCCGTACTGCGCCTCATCGTACCGACCATTGTGCGTGTATTGGCTCGTTCGCAGGAAGGCGAGTGTCGATCTCGCCAGGCTCCAGACGAACGGCAAGTTCGTTACGTACATACCGATCGACGCTTCGCGCAGGTACCAGAATTGATAACTGTCGTCATAGATGTTGGAGAACGTAAAGTATTTGGAGATGATGGCGCAGGCGATCTGAGATGAAACATATTAGCAAAAACCGAGAGGAGTCGGATCAGACGCACCACCACGATACCCATGGAAAAAACAACAATCACGGGTAATTTCGTCTTCCACGGCATCTTGGCCCGGATAAACATCGGCAGAATCACGCAGAGAATGGCTATGTCGGAGCTGAGATTGAAGACGCATTGCACCACTTCGTAGCGGAAGTAGGTGGAGCATTCTTTATGGGGTGGCGGGAGTGTCCAATATCCGGACAGGGGGCGACAGTTGAGAAACAGCACCAGCTCCGTGGTGATCCAGCCGACCAGGGTGTACCCTGCAATTATTTTGACGAGGCGATTTTGCCACAGATTGGTCCTAAACCTGTCAGCAGACCGAAGTTTGCTAGAGAAGTGCACTTACGTGAGTCGGAAGTGCACCAGCAGCATGCAAGCTTTCAGCGAGTAAATGGTGCAGAGCTGACACTGGTCGAGGTTAGACCTGCTCGTAGAATTTCGAAGCAAACTTACATTTTCTGAAGCAAACTCAATCTTGGAGCCTTTGACCCTCGCGGCGATTTCGGCGGCCGTAAAGGTGTAGTAGAGACTGGCGGGCTCGTACAAATTGCTTCCTCCTCCGTCGATGATGGCAATATTCGTCACGACAAATGCCGTGTAGAAACCCTGTGTAGACAACACATTAGCTTAATCTTGACGTGCGAGGGGTCAACCTACCACGGCGACCACCATGAGATAATCTTCAATCTGGAGTCGGAAGCCCAACCGCTTGTACCGGGCAAAACTATCACCGTTACTGGTTGTCCAAGGAGGGATTGGTTATGCATACACTCTCACGAGGAACAGCAACATGGCGATGCTGTACATAATCCAGGTCTGCACGAATAAATCGTGCGGACTACCGCCACCATCAGTGGACATGATGTTCTAGGGGTGTGCGCAAAGAATCGACAAAACCATGGTCGCAGGACCGCAATGGCCTAGATGTATGGAGTACGGGACGCAGTTTATGAACTTTAAGAAATGGCGTCCTTTTTCGGTGGCTTGAACTTAGTCACCAACTAATTTGGGAGCGGCATTGATGTACTCTAGTACGTAGGCTTGGTGGGAGTGCTTCTCCTATGGTTCGTGTGTCCTCTGCATGGTGGCGGCACGGGCAGTAGATTGGGACGGCTGAGTGGCTATGGAGCACACCACGGCATTGCTGAATGATTTTATTACCCTCAGGATTCAAATCCCTGCTAGGCTGCATCCCTGCATAAACGAGAAAATTCTGCACAAAGTCTATTCTCGCAGCCGGAAGAGCCGGACAACGTGCGTTCGAGGGTAAGCAGACGGGCTCAATAGTCTGCACCTATTGGAGTTCCCATGCTCATAGTGTTGGGATCCAGCTAGTCGTGACGTTCTTGCTCGTATACTGGATAGTGCCAGCCACAAGGCTGGAACCAGACTTGGACTCGGAAAATCTCCGACGCTTGATAATCGGGATTGGGGCATTTGCAACCCTGGCCTCATCAGGAGACGGCCAGTGCCGACCAGTAAACTTCGGCTACAAATGGTGTCCCCGCGGAGTCTGACAGCCAGTCAGGGAGGCGGACAAATCGTCCACGTTGCCACGTACAAGGACACCACGTTTTTGAATCACTAGACACGGTGTAACAGTGTCCAATCATCATCAGCCGGCTAGAGGCGAAACGAGGGTCTAGGATTCAATTTGCCGAGTTTTAGATTAACTGCGTGATTCCAGCTAACAGATTAGTGGGAGCCTCGGAGGAGCTTCGGCATAAGCAGCTGCCACGATCCGAGTCCAGATCTAAATAGATGAGTACGAGTACGCGTTCGGAGAGTTCGCACTCTCTTCGAAGGGTCAATGATAATGATTAGGTTTCACTGGTCGGGCCAAGCCGTGTAAATTGTCTTCCGCACAAATCGCGGTTTCGTAATGTAGCGACGGAGAAGTGCGAGGCTAGCTGTAGGCATCAGACTAAGGCGTGGGGACCTGAACCATGGCGACAAATGGTCCAAGCAGCCGGCCAAGCAGCTGCAGTGAGCAGACAAGCACTCGGTCGAAAGTCAAGGACGGAAGGACGGCTAGACCTTCCGGTCACGAAGCGGGGCAGGGCTCCACTTGGATCGTGATAAGGACGGGCCATGCTCTGCTTGGGGACAAGTCACACCAGGCCTCGCCTCATGAGCTGTTTAATATGGAGTTTGTCGGAATGGAGACCTAATATATGTTCTGCACCGTTAGTAGCTGAACTCAATTGAAGCCGGACTGCAGCCTGCACGCCATCAGCCCATGCCCCTGGCGGTGGAAAACCGGCAGAATATTAGTCCCGAACAAGTTTACTCATCAGACGAGATAGTTAACTAAGCATCCCTGGTAAGGTCAGAGTCGTGGCAAACCTTGATGACCGATGTCCAGACCCTAGTCAAACAAGCCAAATCGAATGATCCGGGACTGAGGCTAATCTTCAGAATAAGATGATGACCGGAATTGCAAGGAGCAGGAAATGAAGCAATCTCTTAGCTTGAACCGCTAAGCAATGCGGGAGACTGAGCCAAGCATGGATGCTGCCGTGCGGGTCCTGTCATTGGCGGACTCCTCGTGGCCAACAGGAAAAAAGTCAAAATTCAACCAAAACGCGGCGAGAACGGAGGGACCGAAGAGGAGTCCTTCTCCGTTGCCGCCAACAACATCCCATCGCCGGATCCAACTCTACCTTAGCTTTAACTTAGTCCCTGCTCTAGTGTCCCATACAGGGGGGCAAAACTCCCCTCCATCCTCCATCCGGCTGTGAATTTTTCTCCCATCATGCAGCTGGGTTTGCATTAAATCCTCTTGATTTCTCTCGACGCCTGCGTTGATTTCGTTCATCTGCTGGGTTCAGTTTTGATCTTCGTTTGCGCCAGTTCGCAGACCTCTATCAGTCTATCAGCATGGCGGATACCATGCGCGACGAGGAGAAGGGCATCCGCGCCCCTCCGGCCGTCGAGTCGTTCTCGGTCCCCTCGGAACATGACAAGGAAATGTCTGCTTTCCCATCCTCGGAGAGTGCCTGGACGAGGTTCAACGATCGGATTCAGTCCATCAAGTTCCTCGAAAGGCGTGGTATTGAGCGTGTGCCCGAGTCGGAGCGTCATGCCGCCTCCGCATCCCACTATATGCAGATGACCCTGCTCTGGTTCAGCACCAACATCACCGCCAACAACATTGCCGTGGGTATGTACGGTCCACTGGACTACTCTCTGGGATTTGTCGATGCATCGCTCTGTGCTGTGTTCGGTGCTTTGCTGGGTGCAGCGGGTGTGGCGTACATGGGTACCTTTGGACCACAGAGTGGTAACCGTACCATGGTAAGTAACATCACCACTCGAGGGAGAGGCTCACTAACACTGGCTTAGGTTGTTGCGAGATACTTTATGGGATACTACCCGAGTAAGATTTGCTGTCTGCTCAACATCATCATCATGCTGGGATACGGAATGATCGACTGCCTCGTGGGTGGCCAGGTGTTGTCTGCGGTGGCGGATGGTGGAATGACGGTGGTGGTCGGGATCATCATCATCGCCATCATCACGTGGATTGTCGTCGTGTTTGGTATGGCGCCTTTCCATGTCTACGAGCGATGGGCCTGGGTGCCTCAGCTCATTGCCATCTTCGTCTTGGTCGGCAGTGCTGGGCCCAAGTTCGACACCAACATTTCTTCCACTGGCGACACCCAGACCATCAACGCCAACCGTCTTACCTTCTTCTCGCTTTGTCTCTCCAGTTCCGTGGCCTGGGCCCCGGCTGGCGCTGACTTTTTCGTCTACTTCCCTCCCAGCACCTCCAAGTGGAAGACGTTTATCATGACCTTCCTGGGTGTTGGCCTGGCGCTCTCCTTCGCCAACGTCATGGGTATTGGTCTCGCCAGTGGCACTCTGACCAATCAGTCCTGGGCGGACGCCTACAATACCTCCTCTGGAGCTCTGATCCTGGCTGGCTACGAGGGACTGGGCGGATTCGGCAAGTTCATGGGTGTCATCGTCGCCCTGGGTCTGATCGCCAACAACATTCCCGGAACCTACTCTGCCACCCTGGGCTTCCAGATCATGGGTCGTCACCTCGCCCGTCTCCCCAGATGGCTTCTCTCCTGCATTGGTGTGATCATCTACACTGCCTGCGCCCTGGGTGGCCGGAACCACCTCTACGACATTTTCGAGAACTTTCTCGCCCTGATGGGCTACTGGGTGACCATCTACCTGACCATCGCCCTGGAGGAGCAGTTCATTTTCCGCCGCACCATTGGCTTTGACTGGGATGCCTGGGCCGACCGGTCCAAGTTGCCGATCGGATTTGCTGCTCTCGCCGCGTTCCTGATCGGATGGGCGGGCGCGATTGTCTGCATGGACCAGATCTGGTATGTCGGACCGATCGCCAAGATGGTTGGATCGGATGGTGCGGATCTGGGTATCTGGGTGGGTGTGTCGTGGGCGATGCTGGTGTATCCCCCGCTACGGTGGTTGGAGCTGAAGAAGATCGGTCGGTAAATGATGGGTTTGAGTAATGGTGATGGGGTTTCCTTGTGTTCGAGACAGGAGGACGACGAAAAGATGTATATGCCTAATCGATGTTTATAACGGTGGATTCGACTCCGATAATGTGTGATGCTAGAACAATCAATACACTGATTACTACGTTAATTGCTTGATTGGTTCTTGCTGTATTCTCGAGTATAGCCCTCTGGGGTCTTTCCGAGTGGCTGATGAACAAGTATTTACCTACGCGTGTGCACAGCTTACATCAACATCACTGGTCTAAATATTGAGAGATGAAATGAATTAAAACTAGAAAACAAAAGAAACACCCTCAACAATTTCAACAACCACATACTCCCCTAGGAGACAAGAAGAGGTCTATTCTTTATACAGTGTGTTCTTCACAGGCAGAGTAAAACTACTTGGTGTAGGCTAGGCCGCATGGACGGTCTAGTGCTGATGCGATAGTAAACAAGGTCTGAAAGTGATCTGCTAAACTGCATGCAAGACAAAGCTCGAAATTTTCCATAAAAATCATGGATATGAAGGGTGATAAGAAGTGGGTGGATACTGCCTTGGGCATTTAATCACATGCAGCCACCTGACCGGGCCCAATCTTTACCGGAGTACTTCGCACATCAGACCTGCCTCCACAGTTCCAAACTGCTCAGGAGAGTGTTCATAATCAGCCCAATTGACTTCTAGCTTCGACAACATCTCTTCGGAAATCCATTCAAACCAACCCCTGATCGCGCATTGATGAGAGGATCCCAGGCTGGAATAGTCAGCCACTTTCCCTTGTGAAACTTCGCCAGGACTGTGGTTTGAAGCTAGATCTGAATCTTGGAGGTTTCGGGCATCGGAATTGCAGTGATGGGCCGACGAGACTGACTTATACTACTATGCACCATAGCAACTGCGCACACACGATGAGACAACCAATTCAGGCACAGTGCCAAACCCCGCGTGTGTGACGTGTACAGATCGGGCCAATAATACTTAAGCGCACGCACTAAGGCTGAGTTTGGAGTCACTTCGATCTTGACATGTTACCCAACTGAGTTTCTGGTCGTGGCTACAGCAGCAGCATAATGGCTCCTGGCTACGATGCCGCTGTTGCGAAAGGTAAGAGGTTCTAAACCTGCATGGTTCCTTCACTGACGTGTCTGCAACGATTCCGCCATCTCAAGTGGACAGAACTGATGATGTCCCAAACAAGTCTAGACCATGTTCCATATGTTTGGACATGCTTCACCACAAGAAACTGATCGTCTGGCAATTGGGTCGAAATTATAATCCACGTGAATTGCAAGGCCTCAAACTAGAAGATTATGGATTCATATTTCACAGACACCCAAGTCCTCTTCCTGGGTATGAAGAAAATCTGTGCAGATTCTGTGCACACCTTAGGGTGGAGTGTTTGGAGGAGATTGCGGTGTCTGATCTAGACAAATCGCAATCACGAATGCCGGAGGCAGATTACAAGTTCAAGAATTATCATGGGATGACGATTGCACTTGGTCGGATCTTGGATATACAGACCCGAAAGAACAGCTGTTTCTTATGTGCAAGCGTGGCAACATTAGTCCTTCGTGAGGGTAACATCGATCAAAGACTGACTGCTTATCTTAAGATCATTGGAGCGTTCTTCCCTTGCAGCAGTATTTATGTAGAAGGGGAGAACGGCTCTCGGGCAATCGATGCACCTCTCTATAGAGACAGTTATTCTTTGGACGCAGCGAAAATGCCAGACTTCACGTTGGATTGTAGCGTGGGCGACATTGGCTGGCTGACTGTTCAGAAATGGGTTAAAGAAAGTCCAGAAGACGATAGATCGTCAGAGCTTCCCGATGGAAAATACAAGCCTGTTGAAGTCGTTTCTGACTGATTAAGGATGGCTCTTGTCGGCTATTGAATGCGTCAGTTGCAGTAGTTCGGTTCTGTCTATCGAGCGATGTGTATCATTGGTCGTGTATAGACTAGATATTCAGAGACAGTTATTGTGATCTGTCATACCGAATGTATTTCCCCAAGCCACATATGTAATTCAGAGGAGACGTAGTGCAAGTGCCATTTCTGTCGCAAGTTCGTGGTGTTAGGACATGCAGAATTATCCTTAGTGACGGCTCTATATGTTGCTTCAGATGAACAAAGACCATAACCATTGAAGATGTAACTGGGAATCCTAAGCTTGTTATTGACACTTCAGGGTTAGTCGTATCATCATAATGGAAAGCTTTATAGCATCTTTAATAAAGACATCATACAATGAGATTTCTAATACTGCGCTTAAATCCGTAAGATGATAATATATGCAAGCATCTCCAGGCCAAACCCATGATCCAGCAACCACAACTATCAAGTAGTAAATTATATAATTCCCACTCAGGCTGCAACATCAAACTGCCAAATTTAGAAAACTTATATCTTTCTAAGGATCTCTATAGCCCCTTTCATAGGTGTTATCAGATATGAGCCTATCTATGCACATCTGTCTTCCAATCATCTCTAATAGTGAGATATCTATCGTAGATAACGTGTAGCAGACTTGCTCGGTATATTCTACACAATAGGTAGCACTGCTTGTGACATGTAATCAAAGAATGGAAGGTTGAGCGCAGGGTTCCGTATAAAGCATGCATAGGTGTTGATTTGTAAAAGCAAGATTGAGTAACATTCCTATGGTCAGTGGCTATGTAGGGCTTGGCATAGGGGGATGAGATGTGGCCGTGCAGGGATAACCATACAGGAATTGCTAACGTAGGGGGTAAGTCCTGGTAAGTAGATAGGACAATGAAATATAGAACTTCTAAACTAAGCGAAGTATACTAAGTTCGTAGACTATTTTAGGTAGTTATCTGGGTTGCGTGTGGCACATGCGATGGCTCATGATGCTGACTGTTTTGTGGATTCGTCTTTGTATGGAAGAAAATCCTGCATATATCCTGTTTTGAACTACACAAAGTGACGAGTCTGTGTGTAGTGAATCGCATGTAAAGTCTGAACATTACTATTATATCAAGATTCAACAAAGCCTAGTTCTGATTAAGCTGATCGAACTAGTACTAAATGGTTATCTCTTTGTTAGAGTGAAGCAGATGTGATAATGCGCGTAAAAGTCATGGCGAGGTATTCCCTCCAGTACAAAGCCCTTGTTACCGGGAACCACCTGCACATCAAAACTAGACACAATGCACAAAGAAAATGATGCAGATCGGTATAAAGAACACCCAGCAACAAAGCACCACACACTGGATAAGGAGAGAGATGCAGACAGCCAAATTTCTCAAAAAAGGCATAAAAGGCCTCTAATCCATGATGCACTCAAATTCTCTACCCAGAGGTACCCTCCAACACACCATCACCTCCCTCCTATCAACCAAAATGCCCTCCAAAACGCCCCCAGAAGACAACCTCATCATCGACGACCTCCTGACCTGGCAAGACCGCCTCCTCGATTTCTTCCTCGCAAAGCCCACTCAAGGCCCCCATAACTGCCAAGACGGGTTCAGCACGCATATGAAGTGCACACTTACAGTCCAACAAACCTTCCAGAACGTCAACTTCCACTCCCTCATCCTATCGCATGACAAGTACGGCGACTTTTTTATTCTCATCGCAGGGCCGGAACAGGCTTCTCCGAAGGTTCTGGCATCTACTATGGCCTCGTGGATAACGACGGGGAATAGCCTTGAACCTGCTATGTTTGAATCAGGGGAGACGAGGATAGAGAGGAATGAACATCGAGGGACGCAGATTTTCGCGCACTTGGTGGGTGAGAAGGTGATGTTTTATAAGAGGGGTGGGCTGGTGGTACTGGGGAATGAGGAGCTTTGCAGAATGGGAGAGGTGGATGGTCAGGATTCGCGTGATATTGGGGGGATTTTGAACCAGGTAAGATGTGAATTTGGGTTTGGGTGGAGACAGGGGCCTCCGTTGCCTATTCGTGGGGATGGTGCTGGTGGTATTGAGAAGGAGGAGTGAATATCTTTGAGTAATTAACCTACTTAGCTGTATGTTGATATTCGGGGTTATATATCTGATACTGAGATGTATAGATGCTGATTATCACTTGCTTATATACATATATCGTAATCTTTCTGTTTCAATCAATTATTTAGATGGTTTCAATACCTACTCTGCTCAACGTAAGATGTTTACATACGTAGACATGAAAACATGTCGTCAATGACGGTTTTGATTTGGTACTGTCTTGGTCATTTGGATGCGACTGATGGCAACATAGACCTCTGTTAATCCCTGAATAATGAAGGTTGTACCTGCTTGTAGCTTCCTTTCATGTTGACTCATATTGTGGACATAGAAGAATTGGCCATTATTTAGTTGTGGGTTTAGTCTACTTGGTAATCTCGAACAACCACCATCTAGATAATCTAGCACTCCCTTGTTGCTATTGGCCAACCCAACCATCATCCCGTAATTACCAGCCTTGCACACGTCAGACACGACAGACCAGGGTGACTCATGCCGCCTTAAGCCGGACACCGGATTAGGAAGGATTCTGCCTGCTAGGCATCCAACCACCACCACTTGTACAAGCCCTGCCAGGGGTATCCCTAAAACTATAAGAATCTCACTCTGACCTTACCGTTACCTCCTTACATCCACCCAACCACAACCACAACCACCACCAGACGAACTCCCACCCAAAATGAACCACCGCCACCGCCCCCGCCGCTCCCTTCCCCGCCAAAACCCCCGCCAGAAACCTACCCCACCCCCTCCACCC